CATGAAAATCAATAAAAAGAGCATAGCATGACAAGAACGGCCTTAAATTTGATGAAAAAAAATTTTATCTGCTTAAGTATATATATACCAAAATAGAAATACCAAAGTATTTTTTTGATTATTTTTTTTAAAATTTTTTACTCATTCTTAGCATGTTGAAAATTTTAGTTAAAATATTTTTTTTGTCAGCGTAATTACTAAAAAACTCGATATCAGCCATTTTTTTAAATTTTGTAAAATCCTAGTTTAAAATTTGTCCAAAAATCAATTATACATTTTTCAAAATTTATTTGATGAAAATTAGCAAATTTAAAGATTATTTAATATATTTTGAAAAAATCTTTTGCTTACTTTCTTCGAAGAAAAATGTTGTTTAAAATAAAAAGAGGTGATCTTAACATCGTTGGCCATTGACAAGTGATGAATGATTGCTGTCATCACATATCGACAGCTAACATGAAATTCAAGTTTTCATATGGACGGACATAATTGATGTAACGTTTTTTTTTACATGAACCAGCTTATGTAGTACCTCGTAATTATTAAAAAAAAAAAACCTTTCAGCATTCCAATTTCTTTTATTTTGTTTTTTTATTACTGTAGCTTACACCATAAGTTTGTTGATACTATCTGTAAAAATTATAAATACTATAAATAAATTAAAATACAAGTGCTGCACAGCTTTTTGAGGGCAACTGTAGCTCCCTAAAGTCAATACAGATAAAACATGATAAAACATTTCTATCCCAAGTAAAAATCATCACAAACATATCAAGTTATTTTGTTATACTACAGCCAATTTGAACTGAAAAAAAAAAAATTGAAAAATGACTTTTGTCATCATCTGAACAAAATATCAAGGAAACTTTTGAATTGCACCCCATGAAACTAGGTATTTCCTGAAAGCAAAGAATGCTCTTTCATTTCTAAGTGAAATTGGTTGGTGTAAATGATTATAAAAAATTTTTCTGGGGATAAAATATGAAAAAATAGTTAAAATTGCTATTCCTGAACACTGGAAACCAGGATTTTTTTGTTTTTTTTAATTTTTATTTTTTTAAGATCAGCAATAAGGAAAACAGTGTTGAAATTAAGCCAAAATTGACTTTGACATTACTGGGTCAAAGGCCAGCCAGCTGACAATACCAAGCTGTAAAAAAATCTTGTAAAAAAATCACATTTTTTTTTTTTTTTTTTTTTTAATCTATGTTTGAACAATGGCTTGATGTATTTTTGTTTTTTTAACACCTTTTGAGCAGGGTGATGACAACACCTAAGGATACAACTAAAAACAGTTTGTTTAAAATAAGAAATTCACATAAAATTGAAATAAAGACAACTCACTGAAAACTGAAAAGTGAAAACTGTAAAACAACTTCAAAAAATTGAAATTGCAATGAAATATGTAAATGAAATAAATGGTACTTTTAAAAATGTAATGATGTTGATGGTGAAAATGGTTTAGGATGATGTTCAAATTTTTTTAATGAGTAAAAAACGCTAATTCAAAATGCTCCGCATGTGTTTCGCATGAAGAATTTGCAATAATGTAATTGACGTTCAATGGAGAACACTTACACTTAAGCCACGTGACATTTTATTGCTTGTGACCTTCTGTACTTTTTAATTACAGCCATTTTAACGATTTTTATGAACACAAAATTACATTTCTTAATTACTGTGGATCTTCTGATTAGTCAAAACGATACAATTTACAACGCGATAAAAAAAGATCTATCTCATAAGGTCACTTAGGAAACGTGATGTGGCTTTTAACTAATTTTTTAATATTTTAACAACTTAAATGTAAAAATCTATTATAATTAAAGAAATAAATAATTGTATTAAAAATTCATTTTTCATCGAAAAATTTTTTTGTTTTCAGAAAATATTGTCCATATTCATAAAAACAACTAAAAGCAGATAAAAGCATTTGAAATTAAATAATATATTTGATTTATTGAGTTTTGTATGTTACAATTCAGAGCTGATTTCAGGTAGGGTGAGTCCAGTTACAAACAAAAAAAATCATTTGCATTCCTCAAAGCCTTTTAACTATTGTAATCATTAGACTCAATTGAATTTCTAGCATTTTCATAAAATTAGTTGGGGGGTGGGTAATAAATATAAAAAAAATATTTCTGCCATGACTTTAATAAAAAAAAAACTTATTTATAATAATTTCAATCATCTGTGAATAGTTTCTGAAAGTTTCATTAACATCCGACAATTATTTTTATTTTTGCAAGATTTTCCAAATTAATGTATGTCATACAAAAAAAACGTGCTAAAAATTGTTTGTTATTTTACTAGTTCCGGTGATACAAAGAGAAACAAGGTTTTTTTAATTAAAATTTAGAATGTTCTAAAAAGAAAGAAAAATTTTTTAAAATAATTAAAAAAAACTTTGGTCTTTCCTCTTTATAATAACATTAACATTTAGACGATAAAATTTTGTTTTCGTCAAGTTTATGTCTTTTTCATCATGCTATGCTTTTTTTTTAGCAATTTCGTGGAGTTACCTATATATATATATATATATATATATATATATATATATATATATATATATATAATGTTTGGTTAGTCATGAGAGAGATTTCTATATATTAAGAGATGAAATAGGGAAAATTCCCTGCCAAATTGCTGTTATGGGGTAACAAGTACTGGTTGTGAACCTGAACTTTTGACAGTTCTGGGCATGAGTAATTTTTTTTCAACCTAGTTTAGCACAAGTTATTCCAGTATGATGGAGGATGTCACCGTACATCATATGCAACAAACAAATTTCTCTCTGATAATGACATTGCAGTGTTACAAGATTGACCTTTTCAGGTTTGTATTCAGTTATTCCTTGTTGATAATGTAGTTTCTGCCATTTGGAGCTGTGTTAAGTATTGTTTATGTATCTAAATACTAAATACTAAATAAATTTAATGCTACGTTTTCTTGTGTGACTCATAACTTATGTATACCCTATATGACTCATTGCTTTGCTTGTTACTGATAAACCTTGTAGAACCAATTCTAAAAATTGCAATTTTTCAGCTGAGCCTAAATTTGCATTATTATTATTATTATAATTTATACTATATCAGGCTGTAACCATATTTTCTTTGTTTTTGATTTTAGTTGTCAGAGATTTTGCATCTCTCAGCATGGCTCCCTTGGATAACCCTCCTCTATCTTCATTTAATTATTTTAATGGAACTGGAACAAACAGAGAAAATGCATTTGCAGTAAGTGGAAAACAAGACAAAACAAAAAAAAATAATCAGCATTTCATAAATCACTTTCCATATTTGTACAAATCATATATGTAGATAGTTCTATAAAATTGATACAATCCATATATTCTCATGCAAGCATTTATTCTTGATATGACTAATTTTATGTACATCTCTGGATAATCAAATTAAAACATACATGTATAATTATTTAATATATAATTATTAAATACATTTGATATTAAAAACAATTTCTCCTCATCTATCTAAACATCAAATATGTCAAAACTTAATATGCATTTTCATTTTTAAAGCTTAAAGTGATTAAATTAATCACTTAATTATTCAGTATTAAATATTTACTTTATATTTTTAATCCATTTTACATAGTTGACTTTTTCGCTCATTTTTTCTGTCTAAAGATATTTTTTTATTAAAAAATTAAATTTTGAAATACATTTAAATTATAATTTAATTTTGGTGATAATGAATCTTAATTATTAAAAAAATAAAAAAATTTGATATTTCAGTTTTTTGGACAAAGCACAGTTGCTTCTAACCAACCCTACAGCAACTCAACACCTCAACAACCAAGTGTTTCTCCAGGACCTCATTCTGGTTTTTCCCCCGGTCATCAAACAGGATTTTCTTCAGGACCACAGTCAGGATTCTCCCCTGGGCCACAGTCAGGATTCTCTCCTGGACCCCAGTCAGGATTCCCACCTGGATCTCCTTTTCCCTCACTGCCAAATCCTGCTCTTCGTGCTCGGATGAAAGGTGCTGTTGCCAGTTGTGAAGGACCAATTGGCCTGTGGGCCAGCAATGTCACTGGGGTATCAAGTTTCTGTAGCTCAGGTGTGAATTCTGATGTCCCTGGCATTTTGCCAATTCTCTCAGGTTTAGCTGGGGAGAAGGACTCAAATTTGGGGGCAAATGAGATGAGTGTGAGTGCTCTCTATTTGCATGACCTGAAACATCGGCAAAACATTCAGGGACTTGATGGTAGGGATGAGAACCACCCTTGCCAGACCTGGAGGTCTTCACCGGATGAAACACAGGCATTTATGCCGAGCATTCAGGAGAAAAATCAAGGAGAGTCATCAACAGAAAGTCAATCTACAGACAAACAACAGGACTATCAGAGTATAAACAAATTGCATTAATGTGCAGAAATACAAAAACAAATTGACAAATTCAGTAGTCTAAATTATGGCTGACTGCCTTTTTATTTCCATTTTGTGAACAAGAGTGGCACCTGCTACAAAGTTTAAATGACCAGTTCTCATTTATGATTGAACTTTTATAAGGAATTTGTGAAAAATGTAGACTTGATTATATATGGAATATTTTCTTTTAAAATCCGTAAAAATAATGATGCATCAGATCCCAAATAACCAGAATTGTTTCAGGGTAACAAGCGAAAGCCACAAAAAAGAGTTGTCTCCCTTGAGTGACTAGATTTTTATTATTATTATTGATAATATGAATGCTTAAACTTATAGGTTATGCTCTAAGATGGAAAAAATAACCAACATTAAAAAAATATTTCCAATCTTGTTTATAAAATATTTCATGAATGACCGCTTCCTCTGTTCTGTTTAGTTGATGTTTGTAAAGAATATAAGTATACGCACATACATATGGAAAGATAAACAATCTAGAGGGTTTCATCCTATTGTGGAAAAACATATACACATGCATGTGCACATACACACACATTAGGAAGAGAATGCAAAGAATAAATGATACAATGTGGAAAAATTGAAATTGCCCAATAACTAAAAAAGGAATTGTTTTCTCTATGTAACTAAATGTATTACTTTGAATATCTGCTAGATGGAGGGGAATCATTCTTGAAATCAATGCTTTGTGGTGCCACATTATCACAAAAAATGAAACAATGTGGGTAGTGGATGAGCAAAGTAGTGAATGGAAAAATTTGGTGAACAAAAAGAAAGGAAATTGAATAAGAAAGGCAAAAAATTTAGAAAAAAATGAAAGAAAATAAATTGAATAAGATAAAATTTAAAAAGGAAATGTTATTGATATAAATAAATGGAATAAGATTGAATGAAAGGAATCAGAAGTGTTATACTTAATCACAGAAATATTTCAGAAAAAAGTAAATAAAAAAAATAATTTTAAGAAAGTGATAAAAATAGAAGAAATCTAATGATTTGGGATGAAAACCCTTAGAGAAATATTTTCTGAATTGATGAAGAGGTTGCCCTTGGTTTGGCCCTGCATAAGATTTGCAGGTAACTAAATCTAAGACTTTTCATATTGTACAACCAAAAAAAAGAAAAAAAAAAACAAACTTTTTGGCCATCTAATCAGTGGTCTGTCTGCTGTCCATTGTTAATTTTATTATTTTTTTAAATGTCTATTGTTGTTTTTTTTTTTTTTTTTTTTTTTTTCCAGGTATCAGGTTTTTATTTATTTTTTAAAGTTGTTTTAATATTTGTCTGTTTCTGCTTAAGGCTAATTTATTTATCCTTTTAATTACTCTGCAAAAAATCTAAAATTGCAAAATAATAAAACAAATACTGAAAATATTTACAAAAAGGCCCTTTTCTTATTTTTAAATACATTTCTAGCCTTTTTCAATATTGCATAAAGCAAATATGTTGAGGTTAACTGAAATTAAAATTAACAGCAAAAATTAATTTATGGCAATGTCTTGAGTTTCAACATAATTCAAGACTTTTCTTTGTCTATGGAGATCATCATTGTATTGACAGCATTGGTTTTGGTAACTTCAGAAAAGGTTTAAAATTAATTTTGGCTGTCGATTTAGAAATTTGCATTGTTTTCTGTTGGCATTAAACGAAAGTAAATCACTCATCTTTATTATCTTCAAAAATCTTAACCATTTTTAATTGGCTGTCTTTAATTTTTACATATTAATGAGCTCATAAGAATAGGAAACACCAGCAAAGATTTGTGTTGAGTAGAACATTTTGCATTGAAAAAGCAATAAAAAAGGAAATTAATTTTTAAATGTCATGTGTATGAAAACTCAAAATGTAATTTTGCATTATAGCCATTTCTGAAGAATGATTATTTGTTATTTTTAGATGGTGAAAAAAAATCTTTTCTTAATTTAAACCAAATTTCTTAATTGCAAAAATTTAAAACAATTTTTTTGTCTATAATTATAATCTATTTTTTCTTTCTTCATATTGTAAATTAACATTATGCAACATTGTCTTAACATTTTTATAACAAAATAATTTTTTAAAAAAATGATGGATTTATTTTATCTGGTCCTTATTTATTGCATTTTACTGGTTATCTTCAGCAGTTGTTTGATATCCATTTTGTCATTTTTAAATTGAACTTTTCTTTTTGAACAAATTTCTGTTATTTTTTGTTTTTCTTCTTTTTTCCTTAAATGTTTCAAGTGAAAAAGAAACAATTCAGGTTCTCTGTTGGGTTTGAGTGAGAAACAATAATTAATGTACATTATTTACATTATTCAGACTATTGTCCTCATCTTTGTCGCCATATTTATTACATTTTGGCCATTCTTCAGGTGGTTGGAATGTCGAACTGAACCCTTTATTTCTCTCACTGAGTTAGACTGTTCTAGTTCCACGGCCATGTTTTAATGGATGTCAGTTGTCTCCCGTTAATTTTCCCTCTGAAAGTTCTCCACTGCCTTAACCAGGTATTGAACTCACACTCTTTGGGTCATGTCACTGGATCTAACCAATGCCTTTATCCCCTGTGCCATGTGTCCTTGAGGCCAAAATGTTGTAATAAATATGGTGACAAAGATGAGGACAATAGTCCAAATAATGTAAATAATGTACATACCTCATCTCAGAAATATAGACAGATACTGAATAATTAATGTGTTTCCATTCACTATGAAACATTTTGATACATGAAGTTATTTTAAACAGGTTTCTTAAACTATTTATTTTCTTTAGTATAACTTCAACTGTGCTTCCATTTCTAAAACACATAAAAATCAGAGAGCAAACAAAAAGTTCAGTTCAGACTGCAGAAAGATATCAAATGTGAGAAACATTTAGTGAGACTGAAGAAGAAAAAGAAACTTGTTCAAATTCTTTTCATCCTGTAATTATTTTTTTTTTTATTATTATTATTTTTTCATAAAAAGTTGCAATCTGATAATTGGAAAAATCACTGATATAAATTTTCTCCTGGAAAGCAGAAAGTGAAAAAAATCAATTTTAAAAAATATTTAATGTTACATTTTTTCTTCTATGTATCTTATATTTCATTACTGCTAATTTATAAATAAGAAATTCAGGTTCTTTTAACTTATAATTCTATCAAATTGTATGAAAAACAAATTCTAGTCAGATACATAACAATGACCTTAGATATTAAATCCAGATTAGTGATTTTTCTTGCAATTGAAAATTCTTGATTGGTTATATTGAGATTAAAAATAATGCATGAAAACATTGCTGGATTGTCAAGTTGTAAATTCTTATATATTTTCTATTTCTCAAAGAATCTCCTCTTGACCACAGATTCTGCCATCCACTTGATAAACTTAAATATAATATAGTAGATATTTGCTAACATTGGCTTCTTTCAGCATAAGGCCTCAATAGTTGGACACTCATTGTGAATGAAACTCACTACACTAATAAATATACTATAGGATCAAAAAGTGCCCCAAATCAAGAAGTTATTTGTTGGGCCAAACTGACTTGTAGAAAACCCAATAAATAATGCTGTCTATAATGATTTATATTCCCAGGTTAAATCCATTTTGTGTGATGAAATTTTCTTTTAATCTTAAAAAAAAGAAAAAAACCTTTTCTACTGCCATTATTGCAGTGTCCAGTAAAATTTGAGCTTTCAAAAATTGAAAGTTTCTATATATCTCTTTTATTGAACAGGCCATCATTATTTATAAGAGAATTTTTTTAATTTTGTCTCTTTTAAGAAATTTTGGCTTAGATTTTATGTTAACTTAGATTTAAAAATAAATCATTCTAAATCTCATTTAAAACTTAAGAAAAACCTGTTTGCTAGAAGATTCTACTGAAATAAGAAAGCTTTTCAGCATAATAGTTTTTATGAAAACTTCAGCTTAAAGGAAAAAATCACATCTGAGCAAAAGTATTTAGTATCTATCTTTAGTCAGTGTAATGTTTATAAAATTTACAATATTGATGGTGTTATAATTAATCACAGTAGCTTATCTAAGTTAATAAATTCTCATATTCAATTGCTTCTGTTTCTTGACGTTTGATCGTATTGGAAACTGGTATCAGAAATCATCAAATTAAGGTGCATATTGTAGACTTTGCAAGTAGTTTGAAATATATGATTGAAAGAAAAAGTGATTTTTGAATCTGAGCAAAAGGGCCTTTGCTTTTAAATGCTGGTCAACTACTTTTAACAGAATTAACAATAACTATATTGAGAGAAAAATTAGTATTTTTTTAGCAGGTGTTAATAAATCCAACTTTTGATAGTTACACACATTGATACACAGGATTGTCTGTTGTTTTTTACTATGCTTCCTCTTTTGCCATTTACAACTGCTGATATTTGTTTTGGTTCAAGACAAAAAACAATTAATTGTCCATGTCTTCAATATCAAGCCTATCAAGATATACTCTTACCTATGGGAAAAAAAACATAGTAAAAACAAAAGTATAGAATTTTTTTATTGGCTAGCAACAATATAAGCTGTATATGAATTACAAGCAATGAAATCATCTGGAAATCTCTATGGTATAGAATAATTCATATATTTTATTAATATGCAAGAAAAAACATCTTTATAGTTTCAAAGTGGTTTTTCTATTTACAAACTTATTTTTGTTTGGTAAAAAAAAAGTAACTTTAATGTTGAATAACTTCACTTAAGTCAATATTCTTTTTTTCTGTCTTGCTATTTTTCTGCTGTTCAACTTTCCCTGTTACATATTTAGAATATACTTAGTTTATGATTAAGTTCTTATTGTGATATAATATTAATATTTGTTGTTACTGAATGAATTATTTGAACTCATTTTTTGTGACAGTAGTTGTCTTTTTTTTACATTGGACCACAGTTTTTACACTAACAGTTAGCAACAAGTTTGTTATCAAATATAACACTTATTATTATCATTATGTGTGTGTGTGTGTGTGTGTGTGTATGAGATGATAGTGAGAAAGAGATGAATTCCAATATCTATTCAAAGTTTCTTCATCTTTTTGTTGTTTTTTTAACTAGCTAATTGTGTCTGACCTTAAAATAAAAGTAAAGAATTAATTTCTCATAAAAGTCAAACTGATATCACATATTTTGGAAACTCATCTTACATGTCTGACACTTAAACTGTTTCAAAGTCAATGGACAATTCTTATCTTTTTGCTACGCCTTCCCTCTGACTTTTCTAGGCTGAATTGTTTATCTATGACCGAGTTGTAGTTGTAATATACTGAAATTGTTTTTAAGAATCAGCTAATTTAATGTGATAAAAAACAAAATAATAAAAACATTAATATTTAAAATATTTGAGATATCAAATTTTTATTTTGAAATATTTTATAACACACATTCTTTTCATATGTTAACTGAACATACTGTTGTTACACATGTACAATGGTACTTTCCAGATGCTGTGCTTTTTCTTTCCTACAGTAGTGCAACCATTTTGGGGATGAAATTGAAACACTGATTTACATGTTTGAGCTTTACTGTGAAGAATAAGTTTGACTCTTACTGAAGATGTCCTTTTTTTCTTTTTTCTTTTTTTTGGCTACCAACAGATTTTAATTTAATGCCTCAAATTATATGTTAGTGTCTGAAAGCATATATTTTTGTCTGTCTACACAATTTATTATTAAATATATTTAGAAAGCTTCAATGAAAAATATTTAAGGAAAAAAAAAAGCAAATGAAAGATTTTATTTTTATCTTTTCCAACTAAAAAAAAACAGCAAAAATGCCTAAAACTTTAATTGGAAAAATGTGATTTGATCTGCTTTGATTAAAGGCCACGTTAGCAGTTTACAAAACTACCATTGTAATCACTGCATGCAAATATTCTGAATGTGAAAAATGAAGATTTCATTTTTGGTTCTGTTCATATCTCTTATCAAAGTAATTATTAATCCTATCAAAGTCTGTAGCAGAAACAAGAAACAGAGTAACCAATCACTACTGATAATGGTACCCACCCCCAACAGTCAAAGAGATAATATTGAGTGTACTGCCTCTGCAGAAAGACAACAAATGGCTGCCCTACCAGAACAGAGCCGGTGTGAACCTCAAAGAAAGGATGTGTCAACCCACTTCCTCATGAGATCGTCAGGACATATGCAAATGATTCCTTTGCTAGTCAACTGCTAAAATTTTAAGCTTCATAAAAGCAGACACATTTTCTGGGAAGGAACAGTGTCTGGCAGTGCATCATGGTAACCACACAACCATGCCTTACCAAGGATCTCTGTTCATATTACCCAGTGTCATTTCAGTTTTGTCCATCCTCGTTTGTGTTTCCGGTATCTCAGCTGCATTCGTCCCTTATACATAGTGTTCCATATGGAAGTCTTGTCTACACCCTGCTCATCATGAATAAATATTTGTTTCTGGTGCTGCCAAGTTTCTGTCCCTCTTCATTGGCAGATACCCAACCAATAAGAAGAAGAATCATTTCAAGCTTTTTCAGCACAAAAAAAATGGCAAATGGACAGTTTGACATTCATTGATTCCAGAATTTATTGGAGCAGCCACTGATCTCTGAATAGTTGAATGACTCAAAAATGTGGAGTTCATTTGTGAACTGTGCAACATTCAGAAAGTAGGGTATGTCATCTCTTTATGGTTGAGAGGTGGAGCCCTTGTAGTATATAGGTAACTTAGCAAGGAACAAAGATTCAATGCAGAGCAAGTTAAGCAGGCTCTGATAACTGCCTTCACGATGGAATCATTGTGGATTTTGAAAGCTTCATAATGTAGTGACTGCTACCTGATGAAACAGTGGATATGTTCCTGGCTAAAATTCAGAGGTTTGTGCTGCTTGTTGGAGAGGCACCCCTTGAAAAATGGATGGCATGCGCTTTTGTGGCCAGACTGCCAAGTCACATAAGGCAAAATAAAATAAATGACATGACCCTAGGTCAACTTCTAACCAGATCTTTAGTCATTATGTCAGACAAGAAAGAGCCAGTCACAGTGGCTGCACAATACAATACAAGCCCTACTTCTCTTGATAAGTGGTTAGGTGTTATAACTACTCTGGACTGAATCACTTTTACAAGATATTACTAGTATCAGCATAAAGATGGGCATTGTGAAAAGATGCTGAGAGATTGACCACATCTTGTCTAAGTGTCCTGGGAAACAGAGAAAGGGGTGAGATATCAGTGCCAGTCTATCCCCAGACACTTTTAAAGAGGTGCTCCCCATAATTAAAGCTCAGATTGATAGGATCTTGCACATTGCACTGGTGGATTCTGGATGTTCTAGGTCCCTTGTGATTAGATCAGTGTGTCGTTCCTGGGGTCGTCAGAAGTTCAAAGTTCTCTACAAATAAGGAGAAAATCCCTTCAAAGTCTGATTTTTATTTTAAAGTAGACTTATACATGGCTAAAACAAAATTACATACTTAAAAGCATTTCTTTTGTTGAATATACTAAACTTAGGCATAAAGCCATATTGAATATGGAATATTCAGTGATGATCAAACTCATTTTCAATGGCTATTGAGATAAACATCAATTATGTCTACATTTAAAGATAATAATGGTGCAGAGTTTGGAAATTCTTAACAAATATCTTTAACCTGTTCACCAAGTAGATTATCTACAATGTGGGCTCATTTTGTGTTATATTATTTCTTTCAAGATAATAGAATTTAGATTTTTCTCCTTTCCAAGAATCATCATCAAATTAATTGCAAAAATGAATCATTTGTTTAAATTCGGAAATTAGTTATCATCCAATACTATTTTGGGATTAATATTTTAATTTTTGTTATCACTGTTATATTGTATTTAGTGAATAGATATGTTATTAACAAATTATTAATTATTATCATAATTTACCAAATGCAGTAGTCATCAGAATAAAGTTGGAGAATGGAAATAATTTTTTCAAAACATTGAAAAAATGAAACTAAGTGTCATTTTAAGAAGTAATATTTAGTTATTGCTATGTAAAAATAGTCTGTTTTATCAAATTGATAACTCTCTCCCCCACCATGTTGCATATTAAGACATTTTTTTAACTATGTCATAAGCAATGAATTGAAACAAGCCAGTAAACTTGAAGAATTTTAAATTCTCTCTGCCTATCTTGTTTTTTTTTTTTCTTTTTTTTTAAATAGCTTCATTGTTATCAATGTAATTTATTGCATTTTACTTCAAGCATTGATTTCCTTAATTAGGCATATAAGGTATGTGATGTATTTATCTATTAAATTTAGTTTAGATGGTAAAAAAGAAACTTAAACTAGCTTACCCCACAGCAAGCAGAGGTTGAAATTAATATTGGGAATAGTGTGGTTGTTTTTGTTTTGCAGCATATCAACCGTTTGGGTTATGTAATGCAGAAATCTAAATATTTTGAATGCAACATATATATTTTATAGTTTGCAGATGATCTACTGTAGGTGTTATGTGTTTTGGTATATATGTTTAAGGTAGTAGTATTTTCAAATAGTTTTCTCATGTTTTCTTTGTAGTATTTATATCTTACTGGAGCCAAGTGAGTACATTCAGTTAAAATGTGTTTCACTGTTATTACAGCTTGGCATGTTGTACATATTGGTTGATCTTCATTCTCCAACAAGTATGAATGGTGAGGTATGTGTGACCAACGTGTAGTCAAGCTAGCATTACTTTGTCATTTCTTCCTTTTCTAGACATTTATTTCCATTCACCCAAGATTGGTTTTATTGTGAGAAGTTTATTATTTGTATTGTTGGTCCAAAACTTCTACCATTTCTCTTGAATGTAACTGTTTATTTTACATTTTAAGTTCATATAAGTAATCTTGAAATTATTATCAGGAGTTTTGTTTTGGGCAGACTTTGCAGCTGAATCTGCTTTGGTTATTTCCTCTAATTCCTATGTGGCTTGAGATCTAGCATAGCATTATTAATTTACTGTTGGATAATGAATCTAGTTTGCATAGTAATTTTACTAACAGTGGGTTGTCAATTTTTTTATTGCTGTTTTAACTGATAGGAAGTCAGAAAATATTACATAATTTTTATTTTGTTTCTAGAGATGAAGTTGAGTGCAATGTCTATTGCACAAATCTCTGCATTGAAAATTGAAGTTTCTTTTGGCAGATGTTTTTTTATTTTCTTTTTATACACTGCTACACATCCTGTTTCGTTTTTGTATTTTGATCTATCTGTGAAATGTGTTTGGGATAATTGATTTTTTTTTCTTGTTTGTAATTCCTCTTGGAATGTAAGTTTATATTTATTTTACATATAGTCCAGTGTGGTATATTTGGTATGATTGTATTATTGATTCTACATAGAGGTATTTCTGCTTCTTTAATATTGGGTTCCATCTGGAGTTCAAAGGTTTTATGGCTTTCTCTTTTTGTTGAAGAGGTATCTGCATTTTGAATTGGATGTGCTATTGTATTGTAGAATTAGAGGAACTTGTTTTTAGTTTTATATAGTAGTAGCTGAATATATAGCTCCTGTGGGGGAGGAATCTTGATTGGGCCTTTGGCTTGTTCAGGAGTCTGAGTTCCTAAGTCTTTGCATTTTCTCAGCATTGGAAACTATTATGGCTGCCATTTGATCTGGGTTTTCATTTGCACGGTACATTTTCCTTGCTGCAGCCTTGACTCTTTTGATTGCAATCTGGTCCTCGGTTGGTGGAGATTTCTTTTTGCAAGTCATATTGCTGCCGTATGCAATAGTAAATGATAAACTACAGAAAAACTCAAAATTGATCACTGCATTTAAGTAACATATAAGCTTACCCAATGATGATTCTTCTGCTGACACTCAATTTAAAGACAATTTGATGTATGTAGGTCCTTACATTCCATACAAACAATTATTTTTGTTTCATGGGTGACTTTTGCTGGATTTTGCAATTGATTTAAAAAAATTATCATACAAAAAAATTTGTTGCAAAAAATCATGTAAAAAAAAAAAAAAAATCACAGTAATGAAAATTTGGGAATCCCAAATTTCAGGATTGCAAGTCCAGATATGGCTCGGAATATTTTTAATTTGCTCACAGAGTCAGCCTGATTCCAAAATGGTATGATATGTTGAGCTACAGCCTCTAGGAGTAAAGTTGAAAAAGTGTGACACATTGATATTCACATTTATTTATATAGATTGTATGGTTAGTTTGTTCCATCTGACTTTTGGAGGAGGTTGGTTTACATCTACATAATATTTTACAGATGTTCTAAATGTTCCAAATGCCAATCTCAAACCTTCATGGAAGGTTGGGTTAAGTATTTTGAGATAAAATTTCCTTGCAGATTGGTATATAGTTTCCATAGTCCAACTTGGATTGAATTAATGTTCTTTATGTTTTATTTGCTGTGGGCTGGTGCATGCATTGAGAGATAAATGTGTGTCTCCTGAAATACCCACAACAAACATGGCAGACTCAGGATGTGAGTCCACGTAAAGAAATGTAAGGAAACAAGAACCAATATATATGTACAATAAATAATAATGTATTAACAACAAAAGGGTTACAAGTGAAAAAGACAATATGTGTAACAAATAAATGTGAATGCATTTTCCAAAGGGAACACGTTCTCCCCAAGAGGTAACATGTAGATGAATAAGCAGATAAAGTGAGAAGAGAGTGATAAAAAAATTATTGCAGAGTATTTATAGTCCTGAAGAGAAGTTTCAAAAATGAGGAGGAGGTAGCCCAACAATTGCATTTTGTTTTCAGATATTTTAGGTGTGGTATGAATATTAGTTTCTTCTTGAGAATTATTCACAAATATTTGTACTTGTCTACCATTGGGATTTCTGCCCCTTCTAGTTGCAATCTTGGATCATTATGCAGTTTATTTTTATTACAAAAATGCACACATTTTGTTTTAGTTTTGGAAAATCTAAAACTGTTAATTATTGCCCATCTGTTGATTTTCTTCATGCATGACTGCAGTTTCCTTTCTATCATGTGAATATTTTTAGATTGGTAACTTACAGTAGTCATCTACCTACAAATATCCATTTATACCTTGAGTGAGTTCTTTTGTAATTTTCTTTATTTTAATACTGAACTCATAGTGGACATTGTCCAGTTCTACAGCTGAATTATGCAAACTTTTAATAGTCTTTTAGTTCTTTTGAAGAGAATGCTTTATTGTAATCTTCCAGGTTCTTTGTTTTTAAGTTTATTTTATATTTTTCTGCATTTTGTTTTAGAGTTTGGGATTATCATTTACAATGTTGTTTTAAGAATTTTTTTAAAAATGTTTCAGCAAATATATTTGTAGTGCTTTTTCAATTTCATTTGTTATAGCCTTTTTGTCCATTATCTTGCTATTATTTATTGGCATTATGGCCGAGTGGTTAGAACATTCGCATTCTGACCATGATTTTGAATCTCACCATGGTCAATTTGTCAAGACTTCTTGATGTTATCAAACTGGAGGGGTTGATCCGAGCGTACAGCACCTTTGGAAAGTGCTTAAAAAAACCATACTACAGGTTGACCCAAGCCTTGTGAGTGAAATTAGATGTAACCCTTGGGGGCCGACAATTGCTAGCACAAAGTCACAAGTCATTGTAGCCAAGGACTTGAGTATGCTGGCCTTGTTTAAATTGTTGATCACGCTAGATAATATGCTCTTTCTAGAAACTGTAACTAAGCATAGTTGCAGTATAAACCACAGGTGAGCTCTGTGGGTGTTGAATAAACACAAATGCCCCTGAGCAAGCATCTGCAATAGGGATTGGCTCGTTGTGATACGAATACGAGTGGCCAGCTATACATTTATTGAGAGATACTGATATATGTTGATGTTTGCCAGATATTTTTCTAATCATTTCCTAAACTGGTTTTGGTTTTGTAATTAATTTAGCTTGCTGATATATTTTGCCAGCAATCCTCTTTGGCTATTTTATTGCATTATGACATTTGTTCTATTTAGTTTATAGTTGATTAGATTGGCGATTAATGATCAGGTTGGTGATTGTTGGTTCTTTGTTGAATTTTTAGTGCTGCTTTATTTAGTTTAATTATGTTTTTAGATTTATCATCAAACTAGAGTGTTTCTTTTGATTGGTGCTGGGCTTTTGGGAATGCATTCTTATGTTATGATTATTAGGGTTTCCATGAAATTTTCCAGAGATGTCTACTTTGAAATTTGGTGTCCAGATTAGTGATCTTTGAGATTTTTGCTTAATGGGATTTGCTTTAAGTGGAAATTTTGTGTTTTGTATAGGTTGTATTTGAGCCATATGTGGCTTTGAAATGGGTTCTTCCAATTTAGTTAGTAATTTTGTTGTGTATATTCTTTTTTGTTCTTGGAATTTTGACCAGTTGTTTGGTCCTTGCTGCACCAACTGCTTAAGGAATTCTCCATGTTTGTCTATTTTTTTGTTTTTTTTTATTGTTGATAACTGAATTTACCTTCTGAGCTACATTGGTATAAGTATAGGCATTTATATATGAATCCACTATTTTTTTTTTTTTTTGCTTCTGGAAACGATATATCTCTTCTATACTTCACCTCCATTTCTTTCTCTCTTATACATATATGTATGTATATATAACAATATTTCAAAAAGGCTGGAAGGTTCTCTTGACAGAGCATTTAGTATTGAGTACAATCTTCCTCCAAATGAATTGGGTTTTTTGACGACATTTGATGCACATATCAAGTGATCCTCTGCAGCTCTCCTTGTGGTGCCCATACTTCTGGTACTTGAAGCACTTCAAGGGATTGGGGATATATCTTGTGAATCCAATTTTTATTTCTTTTGGGATTGAAGTTTTATTAAAAGTTAAAATATACATGTGTTTGAATTTGTTCATCACCCATTTTTATGCTTATCCTTCTATAGTTAGTAACCCCATGCTTTCCTAAGGCTGCATTTATTTACTATGGTGTAGCCAGGCACAGCTCTCTATTTCTAACTCCCTTTGAAGTGTTAAGTCTTTTGTGTGGGTAAGCTTTACATTTTAAATTGTGGAAAGAGTTCATTTTAAGTATTTTATCTGTGTGTTTCTCATTGTTCATGTTTCATAAATTGCCACTTTATATATATATATATATATATATATATATATATATATATATATATATATATATATGTCTGTATGTATCACACAGCCATAAATGCCGATTTAAACTTATAATTTAGAAGCCCGTTAGAACCTGGTTAAAGAGAAAAGTCTCATACTATTTGTAACTTTGAAATCTACTGTTTTTGAAATATCCTTGTATGAAGAGGAATTATCTAAAGTGGCTATATGACCCCAAAATCTTTCTTACAACAAAGTATACCATGCATACTTGCTCTGTTGAAAATTTATATAAAATAACACATTAAAATTAATTTTAATTTCCCAAAATATCTGAAAGAAACAATCCAATTATATTTTACTATGAGAATCACAATAAAGTGAATTCTAAGATAAAAGTGTTTGAGATATGGCTTGTTTCGAAAAGTGGATTTTACAAATGAAAAAAAAAAAAGATTTAAAACAGCTTCTGAATTTGGTTTTTGAACTGAAATGTGTCTTTTCAAGAAAAGTCATTTTATTCACATTCTAAAATTAAAATATTCTTTGTATACAACAGATATAAATGAACAAAAAATTATTTTAATAAAAATAACATTTCATTTTTTTTTTTTAATTTAATTTTATTATAAAATTTGTAAGGCAGACTAAATAAGTTTTCTATGTTTGTGTTCAGTTATAGATATCATTAAAGAGGATCGAAAGTTGTTTACATCATCTCTGCTAGCCATCGTGTCTTCCATTTCTAACAGTCGACGTTGTTCAGAATAATAGTCCAAATATTCTCGTAACTTGTCCTTCAGTTTTGAAGTGTTAATCTTCTTTTTGGCTGAGATGGTCATCATGTGTTCAAACTGGACATACTCATTTGATAACATGTACTCCTCAACTTCTTTTACACTATCTGTAGGTAAAAAAAAGAACATGATTTTATGAAACGTTAGAAAGTAAAAAAAAAAAATTATACATATACTTGTCAAATGTTATGGTGAAAGTGCAGATAGTTTTTGACTTACCCTCAACAATTACTTTTAATCATTTATACTTATACTTTAATATATTAAAGTTTTTATGAAGGAAGACAGGTAAAGTATATTCATTAGGTTTGATGGCACCTTTTTCAAATTTAGAAACAGATTCATGTATTTTAACAGTGCAGGAAAAAAAATCTTATTTAAAGATTTGAAGAGTAATTGTTCAGATTTATATGTCATTTAAAATGTTTTATCCAAAAATCTCAAAAATGCTCTTCATCTTCTGCTTTGCTGTTTTTTTCTATTCAACTATTATTTCAATTCTTACTCTAGGAATTAAAATTCCTAGATCATAGCAAAAGTAAGAACATTGACAATCAGCATTTATGCTGATTATCATATGTTTGGACTTCAACCTCACTCCTCAACAATATAACGTTTTTTTTATTAGCAGAGTCTGTACTTTAATATTTTCTATAGAAAAAATTAAGTAGGAATAGTGAAAGCATAATGCAAATAATAAATGGGTATAAAGTACTAATGGTTCTATGTTTTGCAAGGTAACAACAATCAGTACTTTTATGTAGTAATATTATTCAAACATATATATATATATATATATATATGTGTGTGTGTAGTAGGTACTATGTTAACATATTTGTTAGGTGGATAATGCAAATTTTACAAGAATAAATGGGTTAGAAATGTTATGTATAGCCAATCTCCCAATGGAGAATTAAGATTTTGTTTGTCTTAAAATTAACATTTAAAGGCACTTGATTGCTGATGCTAGAAAAAAAAATTTTTTAGAAAACAATTCTTTGCTTATGCTAACATAGCACATGAGACTGAGTTTGGTAGGAAGACTCTTCCTAATAATAAGGTCTAGCCTATTTTGAAACTATTTGTGATGGAGGGAAAATAAACTACTTCAGATCCTCAACCAGGAATTAATATAGATTTTTATTTTCCACCTGGGGTCATGTTTCATTAAAGATTTTTTTTTTTTTAACTTGTACATGAGATCTCTCATTTTATGTACATCCTTATATATTATATGAAGCTGTAATTAGAAAAAAATGACCCAAGAAAAATTATTTCACTTAAATAAGTTATGTTGTGGTAAATATGCAACCATAATATTCATCTTTTCTATTTGAATAGCTTAACTGAAAAATAATGAAGACTTTTATTTATTCATAAGCCAAAAGCTTAGAAAATAAGAGATCAACCACAAACATTAAATAAGATAAATTGTGCGAGTCCACCTTATTATTGGTTCAAAGAGAGCAATTGTCAAAATATTAAGATAATTTATATCAAATAGTTAATTATATTACTAATATATTTCTTTGAGATTTATATATTTTTTTAAATAGATGCAAAAAGTGATGCTATTTTGATTTTTTAACCATAGTTCACTCTGTATAACACCCACAAGTAACTTGAGTAGAGGGTTACAGAGTAAGAGGTGCAGTTTATGGGGATATGTGGGGAAAATGACAGTTAACCCCAGAGTTGAATAGATTGTAGTCATTGGGAAAACATCCTCTTGGGAGTCAGTTCCACAAAGCAGTAGTTCATGGAAAGAAGCTGCTCAAGTGGAATTTACACCTCACCAATGGAACATGAAGGGAATGAGGGTGGTTTGCTACAATGAGCTGTGAAGGTGGAATGAAGGAATATAGTTCATCTGAACACTTTCCATGGAAACAGTGATAGAGTAGTGAGATGCTTGCAATGTTTCATCTGTGAGAAAAGGGTTGTAGGGTGGAAAATAATTCATCACCCACAAGGATATGGAGATGCTTTTGGATTCTATCAAGATCCTGCTCAGAGGAGTGATCAGATGTCAGGCTCTGGTCATCTAAAGTTTTGGAGATGCACCCATATAGCTTTGTATCATCAAAGTATACTCCTAGATCATTTATGTAAATTAAAGTTAAACCAAGAAGTGAGCTTTGGAGGTCTGGGGCATCTACCAGTTGAAATATTTAGTAGATAGTGAAAATATTCTGAACTGATTTTAAAATCCAAAATGACAACTGATCATGCCTCCCATCCCACCACCAGTTGCATATGCAATGACATTTGTTAGGGAAAGACCTTTATTGTTAAAAGAAAATGATTAATTCTCTTGTAAATTGTTCTTCAAACATGAATCAAGAGAGTATTGAAGAACACATCAAAAATACAACAACAAAACTTTGTCATGTAATGTCTCAAGTTACTGCACAGTTTATTCTCAATGACCCATTCTTGGAGTGGTATCCCACCAGAAAAAAAGTGGCTGCAAACACCCATAAACCTATTCCATAATGAAATAGCTAAGACACAACACATTAACTATGATATTTTTACCTTTTATAACATTTCTAAAGAATCTTGGGTTTTAATCCATCAAAAATTTTATATATAAAATGCAGTGGCTTGGCTCAATTAGGGTTAAAATATTTGTTGCACTGCAATAAAATTACTACCCTGTTAAAGTTGTAGGGCCCCAAACACTTACAGCCTCCTTGAGATTTGAGAATCACTCTGTTACATAGTATTCGCCCCCCCACTGGGGCAACATGTGACACAAGGTCGGTTATTTATTGTGGGGTCACTCTGTTACATAGTGACATTCATAACAAGAAAACATTGACAATATTTGTTCTAAACTCACCTGGAAGCTTCCTAACCTTCTCCAAGATATATTCTGCTGTTTCTTGATCTTTCTTGCTTTCTACTTTATTCAGTACCAAAATGGCAGGTTTACTTAGAAGTTCTGGTTGGTAAAGTTCCAATTCCTATTAAAAAAAAACTAGCTGCAGTTTTACTGAATATTTCCCTCAAAGATTTAATTAAAACTGATTTTTAAAACATAAAAAAGGTTTTCAGAAGTACAAGATGTAATAAATTCCATTCAAATCCACTTTTAAAATATATGATCTGTGTAAATTCCACAGCGTTTTGCAAATTTTTGCAAGTAAATTGACAATGGCAGGTATCAAATAAGTGAGACTTTTAGTCAGAAACCAGATGTATATGAAAATGACCACTTGAAGTAACCTATTTTTTTCAGTATTACATCAATAAAAGTGCAATTTGACAGTAAGGCAAAAACATATCATCCTGTATGTTATGTGTATGTGGCACACATTGGTCTCGTGAGACCAATGTGTGCCACACCCAGTTATGCTTCAGCTGTTGATGGCAATGCAGCATCTTTTATGGCTGTACAGACCCACATGAGAGAGCATCTCTATTGCAACAAATGTATGAAGATGCTCGATGTATTGTTGTTTTCTTTCTGTTAAGCATGCTTCTCCCTTCATTTCTCTTCTCCTCACTCTAGCCCAAATCATGTCTCCTTAAACTTGCCAAAAAAAAAAAAGTATCACTTGGCCTGAAACTTTACTAATTTGGGGATGAGAATTTAATAAAACAGTTCATTTCTCTGTAATATGAATATCTTTTCCTCATACATATATATAATTTTAAAACATATTGTGAAAATATGCAACAGTAAAGACTACAACATTTAGAAAATTGGCTTTATGAAATGACTCATTGGTGAATCCTTCAAACAAATGCTTTAAACTCATTTATCTTCAAACTAAAATGCTGAAATGAATAAAAATACATTTATTGGAATTGATAAAAAACACTTTCTGGAGAATTGGAATGGTTCTCCTGCATTTCCTCTTCTATTGGTGATTTGCAGTCTGAATTTGTTTATAAGCCTCTGCTATTTAGAGACTTGAAGCAACAGAAATGTTGTTCTACAGAATGATGCTGAGGATACCATGGACCTACTTAGTGGGCTTGAGTAAATGGATGGCGGAACAAGGTTTAGGAGTGATAGCAAAAAGACAAAATTTATTACAAAGGACAGGAACAATTGTGCAAAGACATAATTGCCTACATTGTGAAGGGACATAGCTGATAGAACATTGAAAACAGAAGAAAATGAGAAACATTTTCATTATATTGTGTTTTTTTTATCTTAAGAAAGGTAAAAATTTGATTGAGATACACACACACACACACAAAAAGATGTGTGCAGTTGATGGAGAAGGCTCTGTGAATAATTAAATATGTCAAAATTGGTCTGCAAAGTTTCATGTCACTCCAGAGTTGGATAGAAATGCTGACATTGATAGCAGATGAAGAACACTTGAGAATAATTAATTTCTACTATATTCACCAACTATATGTTCAGATTTTCATATATTCAGATCTTTACAGAATTTTAAAATTAAAATAATTTCAATTCTCTTGTAGACTGTAAATGGCACCCAGTTGCTTATTGAGAAAGATAAAAAGTTCTGAGATGATAGAAGTTGCTTTAAAGAAGATAGAAGTGTAGAAATTCAAAATCTTGAAATTGACATTTTAAACAAGAGGAGCCAGGTTTGGTGGAGAGGATGTTTGTCAACTGACTTTTTAAAACAATACCCTGAAAGTTAGTACATCAAGGTAAAATAAAACACATCAAAATCTGATTTATCAGTGCACTGTTAGGAATTTATCTAAGGGATGCAAATTCCCTCCAGCATTTTCTATTGAGATTTCAGGAACTGATTCATGTATCTATTGTTAAGAATCCCCTTTTGAAGAAAAAAAAGTGAATTAGAAGCCAAAAGTAAGAGAAAATATTGATACAATCACAATTAGCAGTTGGATAATTGGTGAAATGAAGACAGATTTTGACAGTGATAGATTGACAATGGCAGGTAAATAAGTAAACAGTAAATAAGTTAATGTTTACAATTAAAAAAAATTGTCTTTTAACTTAATAAATAGAGAAACCTTTTAATCATTCAATATTTAAAACAAAGAACAGTCAGCAGTAGGTTTTAAAAAATTTTTTTAAATCTTACTTTGTTTAACAGAATAAGTGTTTCAAAAGCTGTTCGTTTGCTTTTCTCCAGACCAAGCTGAAAACCATGGACATCTACAACAAATAGCAAAAGCTTGGTTCTCTCAACATGTCTCAAAAACTTGTGTCCCATTCCTAAATTCATGTGAGAACCTTCAATTAAGCCAGGTAAGTCAGCAACTTTAATCTGTGAAAGAATAACATTTTATCACTTTTATAAAAAGAGTTTACAATATTACATACAGCACGAGGCCAAAAAATGGACGCACCCATAGAAAGTTGATTTTTGTATTTTTACCAAGATAAGTATCAGAATTCATTTATTAATACAGGTGTACACATGTACATCATACAGTCAAAAAATGAGTCAGTCAGTCAGACACAAGCTTAAAGCAAAAAGCATTGCTTCCAAATACATAAAAAAGAAACCTTTTGTATCTGGAAAAAAATCAATGGGCATGGTTGGCTTTGTGCAAAGCTCATTTACACTGGGCTAAATCTGATTGGAAAGATGTTATGTAGTGTGACGAGAGCCCCTTTAACTCTTAGATATGAAGGATGAATATTTGTTTGGTGAAACAAATACTCCAGATTCTAGCAAGGGAACTGTTAAACATGATTAAAAAAAACAAAGTTTGGGGTGCATTCTCAGCAGCAAGAGTTGGTTATTTGTACAAAATCAGAGGAATCATGGTCCAGCATCAATATCACAACATTCTTGTTAATCAAATGGGGCTTTCTGCTAAAAAACATTTTGCCCAAGGTCAATTCTTTACATTCCAACATGATAATGATCCTAAGCATACTGCCTTAAAGAACAAATGTTATCTAAAGAGGAAATGCGATAAGGGTAAACTGCAACTCTTCCAGTGGCCTAGTCAGAGTCCTGACCATAACCTAATTGAAAACCTTTGGGCAATAATGGACAAGTATGCCTGTAATAGGAAAGTTAACACAGAAGATTATCTTTTATGCAAATTAAAGAAATGCTGGAAAAATCTGGTGAAGAACGTCGACTTACTAAAGAATTTAGTCTATAGCATGCCATGAAGAATTAAAGCTGTTATTAAAGCAAAAGGTTAACCAACAAAATACTAAATCATTTTTTGACTTGTTTAATGTATACAACTGTATTAATACCATGTATTAATAAACAAATTCTCTTACTCAGTTGTCTTAGTAAAAATACAAAAATCGACTTTCTATGGGTGTGTCCATTTTTTGGCCTCGTACTGTATATATATATATATATATATATATGAGAAAGAGAGAGAGAGAAGCAGGCAGGCAAACCAAAGTTTCATGAAAAGCTTTTTCTCTTTAAAGTTTTAATCATACTTTTTAAATTTACTGTCAACAATAAACCTTTGTAGTAACCTTTTCATTCTAAGAGGAATTTTTAAAAACAAAACTAAAGATTAGTTCTTAGATTTTCTTCATCATAAATAGAAAATGTTATTTTTTTTAAAGAAATGCCTTAAAAATATTAGAAAGAAGATTTTGCTCAGTCAAATTCATCTCATGCAGGCAAAAATTTAAATGAAAGTCTAATTGATGAATATTTGCATGAAAAACAAAACATTTTTATCTGCTTCTTTTTTTCTCTGTATTTTCAAGTTTCACTATTATTTAGTCATTTTTGTAAATTTGTTCCTGTATAACAACTTTGACTAAAAAGTATTGTATTTATTAACTACTTTTTCAAAAATTTTTTTCTCATTTTTATAAATTTTCTTTAAAGTGTTTCCTTATGCAAATACACAACTTTATGTAGTTCCTCACAACTATTACATAATCTTTCATAATTTGGTGAGGAAAGTACTTCCAAGTATGAAATTGTAAATGCTTCTCCTGTTACATGGGTCATTTTCCTACTCAATTTAATATTTCTAAATGAGTTATGTGCTGAAAAAAAGTCTTATTGATCAATCATCTGACACATAATTATTAATTACTGAATCACATCACATACAATTTACCTCTTAGCATTTAACATATTTTAATTTAACATCTATAAATTTGTAAATAATGAACTTGTATCTTTCACACCAAATCAAAAGCTATCCAAAATAATTTTATTTAAAGTTCAAATGTCATGGTGCAAATTTTTCCTGCATAAATTAATTCTGTTTAATTTGTAAGTTAAAGCAATTATTAGTCACACTGGATGTATAAAATAAAATTGCTCTTATTTGCAAGTGTAACTTCATTAGTAAAAACAAAATACTGTAAGCCATAGAAAACATTATTAAAGTCCATACTTGTCTTTTATCAGGATACTCCATCATTCCTATCTCAGGATGAATGGTGGTAACTGAAAATAATATTCAATACAAAGGATTATTAAAATGTATTAAAATGCAATTTCCATAATAGCTTTCACCAAGTTTCTCAACTGGACCTTTTGCTATTTTCATACATTATTTCAAATTATCTCTCCTGTCATTTATGAAGAAAATAATTAACTTTGTCTACAAAAATCTATAGAAATTGATTAGAGACACATATTACAGAGCATTTAAAATGAAATACAATCATCAAGCATTAAATTCTACTTGGAAATTAAGTAACTGGAAATTTCAGGTTTGGTTCAGTGGCTAGAACAGAAAACTAGAAAGACCTAAATTTATATATATATATATATATAAAAAGAAGTTTAATTAAATATTTAATGCAAGCTTTGTTTGACATCTAAATTAATCATTTAAAATTTTTTAAAAATTGTTCAAAGCAAATTTGAGTTTATGTGATTTGCATAATAACTTTTGACAGACTATAAATACACATACATATATATACACTCACACACACATATACATATAAATGTACACACACACATATATATACATATACACACGCACATATAAACACACATGCATATATATATATATATATATATATATATATATATATATATATATAAAAGTGTGTGTATATGAATATAGATGAATATGTGTATATGTGGATATGTGAATATATTTTAGGTTTTTGTATATATATATATATATATGTATGTGTGTTTGTGTATGTGTATGTATATATATATATATATATATATATATATATATATATATATATATATATATATATATATGTATATGTGTATGTATATGTATGTATATGTGTATGTATATGTATGTATATGTGTGTATGTGTGTATGTATGTGCATGTACACGTATGTCTGGTGTGTGTGTGTGTACATACCTAAGTGTATGTTCCTACTTGTATATGTTTTTTTTTTTTTTTTGTGTGTATTAGTATGTGTTTTTGAACATAGAAATATTTGGTCCTTATGAAATGAGACAATCGTTATATTCATCTTCATATATTTATTTGATTTTAAATTTTAAGTAAACACAATTTTTATTTTCCTTCGTCCCATCCTCTCCCCACCCTTTTTTTTTTTTTTTTTTTTTTTTTTCCTTCCTATCCGAATTGTCTGTGGTGTGTATATGTCACCACGAAATGTATCTTTATGTATTAGACATCCGTCGACTTTCTTTCTCTCCTCTTTTAAATCCACCCCACCCATATCTCCAAAATTCTCTCTGTCACTCATCCTCATACTTACACTTTCTCTAAATTCTGTTTTGATTTCGGAGTTGTTTTTTTTCTGTTTTCATTTTGAATTTGTAGGTCTGATGATTTGGATCGTATTTACGATTCCAATGGAATAAATTATGACCATGGAATATTAGTGTTTAAGCCTTTTATTATATCCTTACTCTGTCTTAGACATTGAGTTCTACCTGGATCCTTCCTCTTGGAAAAAATTTTTTCTGAAAATATACATGTATGGGATTTTTTAGATATATTTTCATATATATGTATATTTTCCACTAATATTATCTCTATATATATATATATATATATATATAATGGACTCTCCTGGTCGGTTTCAATGTATGAGGATCTGACAGCTTAGTTGATTCAGTCATGAAATTTTGTGCAATAATCTTAATGGCACTTAAGGCCCGGTAATGATTTACAAAGGAGGCTTCATATGGAGCAAGAGTGAGGATTGTGAGATGAGATCACTGTTAGATTGGCTGACCTTTTAGATCTTGCTCTCACTTCTTGAAGATGATTCAGACAAGCAGATTGAAAACTGCTGAGTCCACTAAAACATGTTGATCTCCATTCTACCCGCTCCAAGGCTAAGCGCACAAGGGTGTTATGTGGTATATTGACACCTGACAAATTGCTTTTCAGCTTGTCTTTGTATCTTAGCCATGGGCATCCTACATTCCTATAGCCCTGATCTAACTGGCTGTACATTAGGATCTTGGGTATCCTGTCATCAGACATTCTCAAGACATAACCAGTCCACTGTAACTGAGACTGTATGAGAAAAGTCTCGATTCCTCTAATATTACACCTGTTAAACAGGTCTATGTTAGATGTCCTATCTTGAAGGTTAACTCCACAGATTGCACACAGACAGTTTTTATGGAAAACATCCAGATGGCGTATATGGTAGCTGTATGGAGTCCACGACTCTGATCCGTACAAAAAGAGGGCAAGTACAATAGCTCTGTAAACCCGAATTTTCGTATCCAGTCGAATACCCCGCTCATTCCACAAGGGATGGTGAAGTTTGCCAAAAGCACTGGTAGCCTTAGCAATCCGATGCATGATTTCATCATCCAAAGTTCCAGTGTAGTTGACTTTGCTACCAAGATAGGTGAAAGACTTTACATAGCTCAGGGCTTTGTCTTCTACTTTCAATGCTCTCTCTTGGAAATATGTAGACTGGTGGTTTTTGTTTCTCACCACAGAATTGCTTCGGAGTAGTACAAGGTTGGTGCACTACTTCAGTTTTCTTTATGCTAAGTGTAAGACCAAAGGCTTTACATGCAGCAGAGAAACGATTTATTAGATTTTGGGCCTCCTCAAAGGTGTGTCTTGGGTTTGAAGTGCTGATGATTGAAGAGACCACCAGTTGATCGAAATTGAAACTTGATGCCACTTTTTGTGTCTTCAAATGCATATTTCAGTATCACTGAGGAGAAAAGGGCAAAAAGGACAGAGGCCATAACACAACCTTGCTTGGTGCCATTTGTGACATCAAAGGATTCTGACATCATACCATCAGTCACGATATTAGCTTTCATTCCTTCATGAAAGATGATGACCATTAGCATGTTTTCAGGGATGACGAGTTTCCTCAAGACTTGCCAAAGAGCCTCTTGATTCACAGTGTCAAAGGCCTTTGTCAAGTCCACAAACACCATGTACAACTCCTGGTTTTTCTCGCGAACCTTCTCTGCAACTTGACGAAGAGAAAATATCATGTCAATGGTGCCACGACCTGACCGAAAACCACACTGCAATTCAGGATAGATGTATAATGATTCTGTTTAGAATCAGTCCAGCTAGGATTTTGCCTGCAATTAAAAGTAGTGATATCCTCCGATAATTATCACAGACACACCTGGAACCCTTGTTTTTGTAGAGGTGTTTGATAGAGGCGTCTTTATAATCCTGTGGGACACAGCCTGCCTTCCATATCTCCATGAAAAGGAGATGTAACTTTTTTACCAACTTTTTGCTTATACACATCGGGTGGAATAGGATCCTTAGGAGTAGGTGATTTTCCAGATGAGATTTGCTTGATGGAGTCACTTACTTCTTGATAGGTAGGTTCAAAAGACAACTCCGGAATTTCTGGATTTTGCTCAATTGATATGATGGCTTCCTCATCAGTAACCGAAGTGGTGTTTAACACAGTTTCAAAATGCTCTTTCCAGCGATCTAAAATGTCTGACTTCTCCATCAAGAGAGTTTCACACATATAAACACAAACACATATAAACACACAGGAAGTGTCAGGCATGGATATTATTTTTCAATTTCAAAAATAATATCCAAACTGGAGGATATTGAACAAGTGGTAATGAAAGTACTTACAATATGGACTGAATATCTAATCCATTTTACAGTTTTTAAAAACAATGATCACATCGTACAATGAGTGGTTAGCCTTATTTAATCTGTTAGTGAAGTGATTTTGCTTTTAATTACATTAACTTAACTGATTTATTCTTTGTATGGCTACTTTTATATATATATATATATATATATATATATATATATACACTCCCAAAGAACTAAAAAGATAACATACACTTAACACACACATCCCATAAAACTGTCAAAATGACCAAGGAGGGAATTCTTAAAGTCAGGAATCTCCCATCTTAAAAACAATTTATTTGAAAGGGACTGTTTGACCAACACAAGGACTAACCAAAATTAATGATAAAAAAGAAATGCAAACTATAGATAAAGTTCTTTTTCTTCAGAAAAAGTCATTCATTCCTGTAGTTCACTGCTACTAACAACCAGGGATTTTTTTTCTCCTGATGATGGCCATGCTGGCCAAATCTAGTTGAGGAACCAAATTGAAATAATAAAACAAAAAATATCAGATATATATATATATATATATATATATATATATATATATATATATATATAAACAATATATAAATACACACAAACTATATATATATATTCACACATAGGTATATATATATATACACACCCACACACACATATACATATATTATACATATATTATGTACACAAGTATATATACACAGACACACATATGTGTGTGTATACAAACACACACACATATATATATAGACAAACACACATGCATATATACAAACACACATATATATATATATATATATATATATATACACACACACATATATATATATACATATATACACAAACACACACACATATACATATATACACAAACACATATATAAACATTATATATACATATTCACACACACACACACACACACACACACACACACACACACACAGACAGAGGGTGCAATGGGTAAATTATCACCATTTTATATTTTTAATTTCACACATGCATGTTGTTTCTTTTTGATTTTGTCAACTGCGGAGTATAGTAGGGTCAGTTGGGCAAGAAAAAGAACACCATGACGCAATTCATTCCACCATAAATTTGGAAATGGCATGTTTGCATGCATGCCAAGCTCCAATACCAGAGTGGTTGGGTGTCAATCTGAGGATAGTGCAGAGGATTTGGAAAGAGATGAATGAGTCTAATAGTGATCACAAAGCTACGGCAGATCAGAAAACTCACTCTATTTTTCTGAAAAGAAAAGAACTCCTGAATTTGTTGGTGAGGGTCAACATGGAGATCTACATCAAGTGCTTTAAGGAGGCAGTGCTGGATCAGGAGGGTGGCTGCTGGAAGTCCCTGTGTTTGACAACAGGACTCTGCACTATGCCACATGGGCAGGAGAACACAATCATGGCTGTCAAGACATTTTCTGTGACCACATCACCTCTTACATTTGGCTACCTAACTCCCCAGACTGCAACCCACTTGATTATTTTGGGTAGGGTGCAGTTTAGTGAGAGACCAACATAACTTCCTCTAAGACCAAAAATGAACTGAAGGCAAAGATTGGCATTCACCAATTTAAACAAGGAGACCATCCATAAGAATTGTAGGAGATTCCAAAGTCATCTGGAGGCTGTATTTGAAGCCAATGATGATTTAAATTTATGCTTTCATATTTCAAGATATTTTTATGTCATTTTGGTAAATATATCTGTTAAAATGAAATGTCAGTGTTATATTCATTATATTCATAATTTATCCATTGCACCATATATATATATATATATATATATATATAGACACACAAAGAAAAATGGCAGACAAGGTAAACACAAAACACTTACAAGGTAAAGGGGCCACACGGGGTTTTGCAAATGAAAGGGCTCTTAGAAGTGTTGATTTACCAGCATTTGGAAAACTGAAACATAAAAAGAAAAAAATATATTGCTCACTTTTTAACAGGAAAATGGAATTGTAAATAATGTTAAATTATGAAAATTATTTTATTTTCTAGTACTAACAAAACTTCTATTTATCTTATGCTTAATCTTAAATCATTTATCCTGCACTTTTTAACAGAACTTCTATGACCTTATTCTTGATTAAAAAAAACTCATAAGATATAACTTCTTTTTGTAAAAAGAATATCTCAAAAAATATTACAGAGAAAAATCTGTTCAGTGAAATTTGTCAAACACTAATTGATGGTAACACAAAAGAAAAAGCAAAATTTCTACATTTTATGCTGTTTCTATTTCTTTTCTCTCTATTTTCAAGTTTCACAAGTCATTTGTGTACATTTGTTTCTGTAAGACTAAACACAAAATTTATATGTCTGTGGAACAAAGAAATTGTTTCATAAAATCAAATTTATATGTAATAATGGCATCCAATATTAGATTTCAATAACTATCAATGATGTTTATTATAGATGAAAACATATGATGAAAAAGTCTGTCACTGAGACATTTTCTCAATACCAAAATCATAATTATTAAACTCAGCTATTGGTGTAAAAATTAATGAAATAAAAACATAATATTAGGGTGTTCAGAAACTAATTACATATTCAACTGCTATGAACCAAGATTAAATAGTAAGAAACTGTATTTAGAATTAGTTTATCATCTATTCTATTTGACAATATTTCAAAGTTTAATTGGGGAAAACTTGGCAAAAGTAAATTTTGTTTCCTCAAGAAGTCTCACTTGAAAATTGAAAACAACTATCAGAAACGGTCTTTTAATGAGGAATGACAATATTTCATTTTTGCATTGCATTGTTGTAAATGATGAAAAATGTTTTTTGCATGTCAACAGAAAACAAAAAAGTTAGTGGCTATCAGAAAATGAGAAACTGAAAACACACCAAAACCAAGATTTCATCTTTGATTTTTGTCAGGTGGAATATGAAAGGTGTTGTCTATTATGAGCTAGTGGAACATAGAAGAACTAACACTACAAAAACTTGATTGGGTAAACAAAGCATTATGTTTTGATAAACAGAAAAGATTTCATTCTCTAACATGACAATGCATGGGCTCTCTGCAAAACAAACACAAGAAAAACAAGACATATTCTCTATACTCCACAGATTTTCAATTATTTAAATTACTAGAACATTTCAAAAGTGGCAGAATATTCAGCAACAAAAAAGTTGAAAATAGTCTTTTAAACTTTTGGTGGTGAAGGGGTGGGGTAGGCTGAAATTTCTTTAAATATGGAATTTAAAATTTGTCTTGTTGTTAAGCTGCAGTCACTAAAAATGAAGACAATTATATTTTTTATAGATCATCTTTAAAGGTAACTTGTTTTTATATTCTTCCTGGTAAAATTACACAAACAAAATCCCCTGGTATAATATATAATGTATTGGCTGATACACTCATAAAATAGATGTGGTTTATACTGCAACTATTCTGAGCAGACCTTAGTTATAGTTTCTGGGAAAACAGCATGATCAACAATTTGAACAAGGCCAGCCTATGAGAGAAATAAAAATAAAAAAAAATACTGTTTGTTTCTGTTTATGGATTTAAAATGTTTCTGCACAAAAATAATAGAATATCAATAAAGATTTTTGTAAGCACTTTATAAAGCTTAAAAGAAATAATTTTAATAAAATCGTAATTACCCAACAAGGCCAATGTCAGCAATGAGTTTCAAAACAAGTTTCACATGGTTTGCTTTACCCTTTTGACCAAGAAATCTGTTATCAATATGGCCCCCTAAGCCACCACGGATCATTAAAATCTTCTCATTAGGTGTGTTCAGCTCACCTAAAAAGAAAATAAAAATATTTACATTTTGGTATAGAAATGTAAAATTTCTTTCATTGAAAAATGTTCCAAAGCTGCTTGTATACTTGTAAAGAAATGTATTTTATCCTTTTCTATAAAATGCTTACTTCACCCTTTATAGAAAAAGCCAAAAAAAAAAAAAACAATTAAAGTTTATCTATCATTTTATATAACTAAATCTACCAATAGGTATTGCTTTATGCAAATACAATAATATGGGGATTTGGCAACATTTAAGAACATTTACCAATAGAATTACTACCAAACCTAACCTCAGAGATATGAAAACACACACACACACACACACACATATATATATATATATAATGTCAAACACTATTTTTAGTGGATACTATTTGAATAGATGCTCCATTTTATTTTAAACAGCCTGCACACCCAGGAAAACTTATTACAGAAAATATATACTCTGGCAGGATTTGAAATCTGGCTACGAAAAATGATTAAAGAAGGTTCTATTTTGCCTTTAAAGCAGATTCACTTGTTTAGATTTTCTTGAAAGGTATATCTGCTCAATTTTGTATCCAAAATGTAAACAAAGCAATTTCTAAAGAATTAATGAAAATTTAGGGTTTTAATACAACACATATTTATTACTTCAAACATTATTTTTAGTGAATTTGAGCAGAGACTGCATTTTATTTCAAACAATATCCATCATATCAGCCTTATAAACCATTTTAAAGCTTCAAACTCATAACATGGTTATTAATTTGAGACTTTTAAATTTGTGATATTTCATACAAAATGACTGTTTGCATCTGCACAGAATGAAATTTGTTTTCATCTTAACTGTACAGATAGATGTTGCCTTATTCTATAAATAAACTTTTAGATCTGTAGATATTTTATATATTGATAAAATATGAAGTGGACAATAATGTGAGATGCAATGTATTTATTACATAAAATGTTAAGATGAATAAATTGTAATAAATAAAATAGTTCATACCTAAAACTCGTCCACTGTCTGTTTCAATAGTAACTCCAACAGGAACTTGGATTTCCAGTGGACCACCATTCTTTCCAATAATGAGTCTTTTTCTAAAATAATTATACAAAATGGAAAAAAAATGGAAAATATATTTTTTTTTTTTTTTTTTTACACGTGTGTGGCAAAGAGATATTTTTATGTAAAAATTACTTTAAACAGTGCAAAAATTAAAATTTAATAAAATGTCTTAGTTTTATCATTCAATTTGATCTGAACAACAGTATAGTTTGGGAACTGTTAAATTGTAATATTTTTAGTGATGAAAGTATAAAACTATGAGAAGATATGTTTTAATATTTATTACTTCTAGAATAGCCTTTTGTCTTTCAATTCTAATTGGTATAGCTGTTTGAAAAAACTTAGAAAATTATTGACAATAATGAAAAAAAAAAACTTAAAATTGAAAATTTAGTGTAAGATTATTAAATAAATTTACTTCTGTAATGTATCTTGCTAAGAATTAGAATGCAGTGTCATTTCAACTGTTAAAGTAACCAATATTTCCTAAGATATTTAGTCTTAAAGATACACACACAAAGAAAATAATAATAATATTTGATGCTCAAGAAAATAGAGTTTATAAACTTACGAGCTATCCTTTCCAGTTTCACTAAAGTATCTTTTTGATGGATTTTTTTGTTTCATATTTTTGAGGGTTAGCTTCTCATTTGCCTGAAAATAAATATCGCCTCCATTTCCTCCAATTCCTCCCAAGCGGGGTAATCCTTGACCTCCAGCCCCACTTTTTAGATAAACACGTAACGTATCAATAAATCCACTTTGATGGAGCTAGAATGGAAAAAGATTTTATTCTAATTAGTGACTTTAAAAAACGTATATTGAAAAGAACTTTTTGAAAGCATTTAGAAGAATGCAGGCATAATTTTTGAGATGAGGAATTATTATATGCTTTGCTATTCAGCTATGTTCATCTTAGTGGTTATACTCATAACATTTCTGTCATTTTACACTCCAGCTTCCTTTGAATTTGGCAGCCATTTTGAAATTTCAATCCAAATTCTTTATCCAATCTACATTGTTATCATTCCATTTCCATGATTAACTCCTATCAATTAATGCTTGCCAGTTTTATTCACTTTTGTATCACTTGTCCGTTTCTTTCACTGAACTAGATTATGTAAATTATCAGCACTACCAGATCCAGGAACTGATATGATTCAACCAACATATCAATCATCTAGGCTGTCTCTTGGCCAATCTAGTATTAGTACTAGAGTAGACCAATATTTGTACTGCAAATAATTATCCATATAATAATAATAATTTCTGATCTTAAAAATTCTGACAAAAATTATCAAATCAGTACAGATATGATACAATACACTGATTGGAAAAACTCCATCAAAATCTGGTATGAATAATGAACCATTTCACATTCTTCTGTAAGTATAGAGAGCTGAAGCTAATTCCAATCAGTTTAGCTATTTGAACATCAATCCATTCCAAAGGACACAAACAGCTGTAGAAAGACCAGAACATGCCACTAGTTGAAACTACAGCTATACACTCTCTACAGAGATAGAAAGATTTTCTGATGATACAAAGGCTGACACGCTGTGACAATAACAATGATAAGAACAGTATTCCGAGTAAATCAGCACCAATTCATGTTAATTATTCGTTAAGTATAGTACAAAAAAGAGATAGCAGTCAGAAAAACATATAGGTACCTCCATGAGATCGCTAAAAAAGAGCATAGCGTGACAAAAAAGACGCCAAACTTTATCGTCTAAATATTTATGATATTATTAAGAGGAAAAATCAAAGTATTTTGGGGGTATTTTTTTACATTTTTTAATCATTCCTAGCACATCAAAAATTTTCATTAAAAATCTTGTTTTTTTAGTCAGCAAAATTGACAGATAATCAATCATGTCAACCATTTTTTTCCATTTTATAAAAAAAAAAAAAAATGAAAATCTCAGCTTGAAATTCTTTTAAAAATCAATTATAATTTTTTCAAACCTTATTTTAAGAAAATCAGAAATTATAATGTTTATTTAAAATATTTTGAGACAAGCATTAATTAGTTTCTGCACCGAAAAGATGTACTTTGAAAATAAAACAAAGCAGGTCATAACATTTTGCATCACTTGACAGGTGACGAAAGACATTTTCATGACATATTGACAGCTTACGTGAGGATAATTTATTCTACGGAAGGAGAGAAGTGAAATTATTTAGATTTAAGTGAACATATTATTTACCTTGTTATTTTTAAGGAAAACTTTCAGCGCTTTAATTTTTTTTTGTACTTAGTTTTCACCTTTACGATGCTTTATGGAAAATATATTATAAAGAAATTAAAATAAGACAGTTGAGAGTGAGATTAAATTTCATAAGAAAGATATCTAATTAATTTATAGGTACCTTTCTTATGAAATTTTATCAGAAGTGTACATAAAATACAAATTTAAATTTCATAAGATGATACTGATACTTGTAGGTACCCTTTTCAGTTGAAATTGAAAAATCAAATAAACTTCTCCACACACTTTGCAAAAATAAAGGCCTTAACAGTGGAGAATAATGCTTAACTCAAATAACGCAAGTTAATTTTATTCTTGCTGATCTTCCATACTTTATAATTACAGCCGTATTATAAACACAAAATTACATTTCTTAATTACTGCGGGTCTTCTGATTGGTCAAAATGATGCAATTTACAATGCGCTAAAAAAAATCTATCTCAAAAGGACATTTACAAAATTGAATGTGGCTTTTAACTAATTCTATAATATTTTAACAACTTAAATGTAAAAATCTATTATAATTAAAGAAATAACAAATAATTGTATTAAAAATTCAGTATTTAAGTTAAATACTAGACAGAAACTCAATCCATGTAACGTTTTTTTATTGCATGCATGATACTTCTAGTCTTCCGTAGATTTGATTTGCAGCCGTATTATTGACACAAATTATATATTTTTCATATACTGGTGTTTGTTAGTTTGTAAGAAGCTTTGGAAATTATAATCTGTAAATCTATATCTACTTAATAGCAACATTCATTAAATTGTACAAACTGTTCCCTAATTTTAGAACATTTAATGTAAAAGTAATAAAATATTTCAGAAATAAGAAATAATTGTTTTAAAAATTCATTTTTCATCAAAATATCTTTTTGCTTTTAGACAATATGATCCATTAAAATAAATAAAAGCAATTAAAAGTTTTTGAAATTAAATAATATTTTTGTTTTATTGAGTTTTGTATGTTACAATTTAAAGATGATTTTCAGGTATTTGGTTTCCTCAAAACCTTGTGCTAACTAATATAATCACTGATCTGCCCAAAATTGAAATTATAGAGTTTTTGTACAATTAGTTATGGGGAAGGTAATACATATGAAAAAAAAAATATTGCCATGACTTTAAAAAAGGAAAACATAAGTTCCATCATTTGTGAATAGTTTCTGAAAGTTTCATTAAAATCCGACAATTATTTTTGCAAGATTTTCAAAATTAATGTCTGTCATACAGAAAAAAAAACGCGCTAAAATTTTAGATGTTGACACGAAGAGAAACAAGGTTTTTCAATCAAAATTTAGAATGTTCTAAGAGGGAAAAATTTTTTAAAATAATTAAAAAAATATTTTGTTCTTTTCTCTTAATAATAACAAATATTTAGATGCTAAAACTTTGTTTTCGTCAAGTTTGGCGTCTTTTTCATCATGATGCTTTATTTTTAGCGATCTCACGGAGGTACCTAAAAGTTTATTACTCCTCTTAATCTTAGTAATAACTTAAGTGAAGTCATTGGGTTTCAAGTGCTGTATTACGAACCCAACAATAAGTGTTATTATATGAACACGAAACATTAAGCATAATCTCGATGTCTTACCAAAGGATATTAGAGTTTATGCTCATACATCTAGCAAGTAAATCAAATAAATATCCTCATTACTTACTATTTTACTCTTATTTGGAATATAATAACAAAATACTCGGCTTAACCAAACCATGTTTTATTTGTGGTCGCAACCATTTTACATTAAAGAGTTCCAATTCATGCAAAGGGAGATAATAATTAAACTTCCGTCAAACAAAGTTAATTGAAAACCGAATGATTTAAATATTCAGACGGCACAAATTTGACTAACTTTAATTGCAATTATTCTTACATTGCTGATTATTTTAAATTTATATATCTTAAAGAAAAACTGCAACAATATATTAACTGAATAATTTCAGAGAGACATTTTACGAAGGAAGTGCTATAAAATTGAATCAACAAACTTACACACGGTGTAAACGAAAATGGTTTGTTTTTAAAATTTTGAATTAACTTAATTTTTAAATGGTACTCTATTTTTACTCCCACTTTTTTCCTAAATTCTATTCTTTCCTGCTACAATCAAAATTAAATACATCTTCTAAATGCCAAAGTAGTAATACATTTTTAATTTCAGGATAATGTGCACTTAATTACAAATTAGAAATAATTACATTTTTAAAGTTTTTAAGCTAATGAATTCGTTCCTTTTTTTAAGTTTTGAGTACATGCAGTGCAGACCATTTCTCAAAACATTTAGTTTAAAAAAAGATAATTAGAAATTGCTTAGCCTAATTTTCTTTCATCCAAAATATGAATAGCAATTACTATTTTTTTAGTCGGTCGTGGACATTTATTTGAAAATAGTGTTGCAAATTGATTTTTTTAACCGTATATGAATTTCACATATTTTTATTATTTTTTTTCTTCTTGTTTCAGGCTCGAAATAGTGAAAAAGCTATGTGAGTAATTCAAAATAAAATATTTTATGATTTTACCTACCAATTTATTTTACTTAACTTGTGATCCTGCCATCATTTTTTTTTAAAATGTTATTGTTCAGACCAGTTTCAGGGAAAAAAAATCAGAAACACTGAATTGAATAGTAATACTTAATTTTATTTTATTCATTTTAGCTTAAAGTTTTACTACAGTTTTTGTCTTTATTTTATTGTCATTTTTTATATTTGTTTCCAGTACACATTTTTAAAATAATGCTGTTAAATTTTTGAAAAGAAAATAAGGATACGAGACAATTTCATAATCCATTGATGAAAATTCTAAATTAGTTAAGTAAACTAAAAGTTCAGAAAATTAAACCACAACAATTGTTTGAGGAATTTTAATTTATCTAATTTAACAAAATTACACCATTCATTTTTTCTCTGGATTCTTGCCTTATCACCATTTGAAATAATTTAAAAATTAACTGACCCAGTGGAAATTCCACAGTGCTTTTTACAATCAATTTTTTTGTAATTATTTTGCTAATATATAACAAAAGAAATTGGAATTTATGGTTTGTTAAAGGTTAATCCATTCATCTGTAGTTGTCTGAAACAAACAAAACTTAAAAGACAATATTCCTTGTAATTTTCCTTTCTGACTTTTCCAACCTATCTACTTACCTTTATCCAACCAACCACCTTCCTTGGAACCAATGCCCATTGATGTCAATAGCATTCTGGATAATTGCCCTCCAGTGGAATTATCTATATAGTAGTTGAAATCTGTCATGTTTTTCTTTTACAAATATAGTTTGTGCACACCATGTCTAATCATCTAGGTTCAGGTGGCTGAGTTTTGAGTTCATGTTTGTCTTTTTAAACTGGTTGTCGACCACAGCTAGAGTGTATTCGTCTCTATCCCATTACTAGGTTGGCTGTGTGTAAAGCAACAAAGTTATGGCAAGTTAATTCCAAGTTTATCAAATTTTGGCCTTGGACCTTCTTTAATGGAGCAGATATGTTTCAGTTTTTATTTTCTTTTTGGAGGACATGCATAAGAGTTTTGTCTCTTTACAGAGAAATTAATTTAAGAAAATATTATAGTATTTTAATTTTTTTTATTTTTACATAAAGCATCTTCGAAAGGTAAATAAAAGTCAATAGATTATTAGATAATTGCGGAAGATATGTTCATTTCTAAAAATTACTAGGTAGTTAAAAGCCCAAAAAAATGCGTTCACTTAGATTTCATAAATTTATTATGTCAATTCTGGTCAGCCATACTAGCTGTCATCGCTTCATCACTCCATCATCCATCAATCATTGCCTCAGAAACCAGACCAATCATTAACAAATAGTTGTATATTACTTTTTTATGCTATAAGTAATATTTATTTCAAATCAGATTAATTTAACTTTAAGTTTTCTAATTTTATTCAAATAATGTGTCAGAAATATATATATTTTTGGAAGAGTTTTAAAATCAATGAATTTGTCTTGTTTACAAATTTCTTAAAAATTAAGAAAGTGGCTGCTCTTAAGAAATTGAAATTAAATTTGACATTCCAATCTATATTTTCAATCCCTGCACAAACTATTTACATTTTCCAAAATCATCATGTTTCCATGTAAATGTACATGCTGAACTCGAAATAACAATTATGATAAAACCTACTGTTTTGGAGTTATCAACAAGAAAAATTCAGACTCAGTCATGGTCATTTGTCTGCCATTACTGCTTTGTGTAATTAGATTCACTGCAGATCACTTCGCACAATCATAACTTTTTGGCCTTTTTTGCTTTTACTTATCTAAATTACTGCACATTATCGTAAAGCAATGACAACAGCCTTTTAACTGCTCTTACTCATCTTCTTTCAACTGTTGTTTTTCTTATAGTAAAGCTTTCTTTTTAAATAAAAAAAAATTAATAGAACCCTAAACTTAACCCCTAACCATAACCCTTTGTAAAGAGCATGATTATGTACAAAATAAAAAAAGAAATGCTAGAAACAAAATAAGGTTTTATGTATTATTTAAGTTGTTTCATATTTTTTTTTTTAATTTATCCGCTTTTCTACACAGAAAGAAAGGGTTTTCTGTTAAAAATAAAACAACACTTGACACTGTTCTGTTATAAATAAAACTACACTCATCAAAAAAAAGAATCATCCACGTGTCATTGCTTTATGATAGTGTGCAGTAATTTAGACAGTAATGGCAGGCGAATGACTGTGAGTGAGTCCAAATTTTTCTCGTTGATAACTCCAAAACGGTAAGTTTTATCATAATTTAATTGTTATTTCAAGTTCAGCATGTACATTTACATGGAAAGATGATGATTTTGGAAAATTTTAGTGTGGGGATTAAAAAGCAAATTTACCAAATTTAATCCTTTAATTACAGCTAAAATAAAATCTTAAATGTTTTTTCATTATTAAAAATTCATTTCAAACCTTAGGTATTGAAAATTTATGCCGGAAAAGTGGAGGTACCTATCATATGACCTTTACATAATAATGTCATATTTAGCCTTTCATAGATGAAAAAAGGGAACAAATTAAGTAAAAAAAAAAAAAATTATTTTAAAAAGAAAATAGTGTAACTGTTTATTAATCTTTTCAATTTTAGATTTGTAAATTTCGTTTCGACTTAATTACTATATCACATCCAGGAAATACAGAATTTTACACCGTTTTAAACTGTTATAAGATATTATGCTTAAAATTTTTAATAAATGAAAAAAATTCTTGTAAAAATTCATTATTCATCGGAAAAATTTTATTTTTTCAGATAATAGTGTCCGTAATATAACTTATTTACAAAAACAATTACTAGCTTTTAATAATATAGTTTTATTGCATTCATTATTTTTCAATTTTGAGCAGATTTTCAGTTAGAATAGTGCAAGTTTGAAAAAAAAAAAAATAATAATTAGATAATTTACAATCTCCAAGGAGTCCTACTTTTAACGAATAAATAAAAATTCAGGAGATAGGATTTTTGCAAAATTATTGCATGAAATTAAGTAAGTGGGGGTAAGATATTTAAAAAAAAAAAAAAAGATTCAAAAATACATTCATTTGTGAATAAGTCCTGAAAATTTCATTAAAATTGGTCAGTTATTTGAGTTTTTTACAAGAATTTCCAAATCAATGTGTTTTCAATGGAAAAAAGTGCAAAATCATCAAATATTGGAAATAGTAAATTTAACTTATTAGCTGGAAATTAAAGCTAAAATAAAAGCTTCAATAAAGATATTTTCCTTTTTATAAAATTAATTTTAAACCTTAGGTTTCTGTGGAGGTACCTACTTTTAATGGATAAATTTATCTAAATATTACATGAGGAAATATTTTATCCTCTCCTCTTTAGGACCACACTGGCACGATGGCGGGCTGCACAAATGGGACTCAATCGAGAAAAGGTAAGTTGAATAATAATCTTCTAAAGAGAAAATTAATCTTGAAGTTTTTTTGTTTTTTTTTGTTTTTTTTCCAAATCCAACCATTTTTCTTCATAATTTCATTTTAACTTTTCCTATTTTACTGTCTTTTTTTAACACAAAATGAATTATAACTGAAAATTCACTTGTTAAATGATTGCTAATCTATTGAATATTATTAATTAAAATAGATTTGAATTAAAAGTAAAAATAACTTGAGAATCTCATTTTTTATCAGATTTTAACAAAACATTGATTTGGTAAAATTAGATTTAAAACAATTTATTATTTTTTTATATTCACATTAAATATATTTAACAATTTTATTGACAAAACTGATTTTGTTGATATTTACAGCATTATGAAAAGTTTAATGGTAAATTTATAATATTTTTTCATTACTTTTATAACTAATCAAATTTTTATAATTTCTATATTAATTTTCAATAACTTATCTTCATTTTGAGAAATACAAATTGTATTTAACAGTTGGTCTCTCTTTGTTTTTAAAATGAATTTGTTTTTGTTTATTCTTTCACAATCTAATGTTTGTAAAGAAACTAAAAAATCTACATAAATTTAAAATTTGATAAAAAATGAACAAATTAGATTCTCATTATAGCATATACATTATTAAAACATATTCATTCTATTAATAAATTTCTGATAAAAAATTTTTATTGCGAAATTATAGATACTATATATTTAGTGAGCGGTACCAACATAAATATAATTTTTATCTTTATAAATTATAATTAAATTTTATTTAAGCCACATGAAATTATTAATCTGAAAATTTTCAGCTTTTAAGCATGTATAATTATTAAAGATTTTATATCCTTTAAATAACAAATAGAACAAAGCATTTTTCTGTTAAATATTTGTGTGTATCATGTTTAATATTATGTCTGTGCACCATGTATAAGTAAAAGTCAATGTACCAATTAGCCAGTTTAAGTAAAAGTCTGAGTTAAAGTATTAAGCAAAGTCCTCTTATGTCTTATCTATTTCCTGTTAAAAAAAAATCACCTTGATAATTTCTTAATTTGAAAAATTTTGTATTTACATTTAATCTGCTTTCTTCATTTCCTTTTTCTTGGTGGACAAGTTGAATATTTTTATGAGGCCAAATTTTCATCTCCCTCTAACCTTCCATAACAGAATGTTTTTTTAAAAAATCATATTTTAAAACTTAAAAATTTGAAATAATTCATTGCTCACTAAAATTTATTTGGTAAATTGAAATGAAAAAAATAATTGTTTTTTTTTTCTCATCCAATAAATTTTATTTAATGAGAACAAGAGATTATTATGTTTTACTTTGAAATTTAATATAACTTTAATTCTTGAGCAAGCTACAATATATATTGCCTGTAAATGATTCTATTTATGTTCATGTACAGGTCTAAGTCACTTTCACTAAATTAAATATCAGAATCTTTACTTTAATTTTTAGAATTTGTGTTTTTGTTAATAACAGCATGACAATGCAAAACAATGATTAAATTAATCAGGTCTCAACAGTTCACTTAACATGTATTTGTAACCAGCTGAATAGATTAAATTAATCCATTTTTTTTACTAGTAACAGAGATTATACCACCTGATACTGTCAGTTCCAGATTTTTCTCATCAGCTTGTTTTCAATCAAATGTCTCCCGATGCTGTCATTCAGGCATTTCCGCCTCTTTCCAGTACCCATAATACACATGTAGACTTTACTTGACCTTTTTCTTTTGATACTTTTTCTTTTTTACTAACGTTATACAGGGTGCAATGGATAAATTGGTGTCTAAATTTTGCAAAAATTGAAAATAACAATCATTTTAACAGATAAATTTACCACAATTACCCCAAAATATCTTGAAATACTAAAGAGTAAATAAAATTCAATAAATTTGGCGTTGGCTTCAACCATGATTGTCAGATAACTTTGGAATTTCCTGTTGGTGAATGCTACCATAATCTTTGCCTTTGGTTCATCTTTGGTGTTACAAGGAGTTTTGTTGATCTCTCTCTCAACTGCGCCCCAGACATAATATGTCTGGGGCACAGTCGAGCAGTTTATAATCAAGGGGGTTGCAGTCTGGGAAGTTAGATGGCCAGATGTAAGTAGTGATGTGGTCATAGAAATTGACAGCCATGACTGGGTTTTTCTGCTTTTGTGGCATGGTGCAGAGTCCTGTTGCCAGACATAGGGTTTTCCAGAAGCACTATCTCCTCAAAGCACTTGAGACTGAGGCCCTCACCAACAAATTCGGGAGTTCTTTTCTTATGAGAACAAGTGAGTTTTTCGACCTGCCATATCTTTGTAATCATTATTAAACTCAATCAACTCTTTCTGAATCCTTTGCACTGTCCTCAGATGGATATCCAAACACTTTGAAATGTTTGTATTGGAGCTTTTGGTGCAAATGCCAAGCAGTACAATATGCTGTTTCCAAATTTTTGGTAGATTGAATTGGTGTGCTTTTTTTTTTTTCACAGACACTACTATACTGTGCAATCAGCAAAATCAGAAACAAACAATATACATGCGTGAAATTAAAAATATAAAATGACAATTTACCCACCTCACCCTGTATAATGTTTACAATTAAAAATTACTAGCTGAGAAAACTTCATTCCATTTGAAGATCTGAATCATTGATGGTCTCTAAATTCTTATTGAACAAAATAAAAACTTGATTGTAATTTGAGATATCAGTTTGCAAGGCTATAAAATTTTCAATAAGTCTGACTTGTGGCTGTGAAAAATTTAAATTTCTACACTTTTTTATCATAATAGCTTATAGATTATTATTACCTAATAAACCAAAAGTATTGTTGTGAAAATGACACAATATTTGCTCAGTCAATATCTGATGGTTCAGTTGCTAAATATGCCATATATATGAAATGAGTGTCTGAAAGATCCAAACTTGTAAAATACTTTAAATGTATTGCAATATCAGAAATGTACTGACACTTAAGAAAGATAATTGTAAAAAAGAACTTGTAAAAAATATGGATGACATGCAGATAATTTTATGATTTATTAATTTTTTTTTTTGTTTTTCAGGAGCGCCGTCCTTACTTGTCTTCAGAATGTGATGATCTACCTAAAGCAGAAAAATGGCGACGACAAATTATTGGTGAAATATCTCGAAAAGTTGCACAAATTCAGAATGGTATGTGATCATTATTAATTTTAATAGATTGTTGCATTATAATGTTATGGAAAAAGAAATTAAATTTGTCATTGCACACTATTTTTATACACCTTCAGTGAGCTTTACTTTTAAACTTAATATAAATTTCTGTTTTTTAATTTTTAAACAAGCAGCAATACATATTGCCTGAAATCAATCTTAGTAACTTTCATGTATACATCATAATCTGAGTCCCTAAATTCTACATCAGATACTTCATAAAAATATTTTACTATTTTTTGTGCTTCCTTTTTGTTGTTTATCATAGCTTTATACATTGCCAAAAAGATTACAATTGATTTCCTAAACATGGTTTACATTTTTTTGAATTCTTGCAGCTGGATTGGGAGAATTTAAACTCAGAGATTTAAATGATGAAATCAACAAATTGCTCAGAGAGAAAGGTCATTGGGAAGACCGTATCAAAGAACTTGGTGGTCCTGATTATAAGGTAAGATAGACATTTGTTTTTAATTAATACAACTTCTTTCTCTTTAAAGTAAGTACTGACAAATATGTCATTCTTCGCGAAAAGATATTTTAAAACCTTTTGGCTGAAGAGAAGATCTTGTCCATTTGTCTGTTGTGATGTTGAAGATATCCCAAGTGTCACCTACACTTACCTCCTAACCCAGGTGAATTCCTGAATACAATTTTTTTTTTTGTGGCATTAATTTCACCTTTCGTTTTTCTTATGAACATACACCAGGCCTTTCCCAGTTTCTGTGCACATGAACAACTGAGACATAATCTGGGTTTTTTTTTTTTCGTTTTTTTTTTTTTTCTTTTCTCGAGTCAGTGAAAATTTGAAAGAGGCTCTCAGGGTATTTCTGTGTTTTAAAACTAGTGCTTACTGCCATTTCCAGTCTTCCATAGACATAGTAGCAGACAACATGTCCTGTTTTGTGACATGTTTTTATTGTGTCATTAGGGTTTGTCTGTTTTGCAGAGTATCCACTTGAAACCAAAATGGCAGCACCCATGAGTAATCACTGTCAATTATTTCCAATAAATGGCAATTCCTTATTTTTTTAAAACAGGCCAGCACAGCCAGGTAACAATGCTATAACAATACATTAGTGAATGTTTTAAGAAAGGATAAATCATTTTTCTTTTACTCTTTAATGTAAACTTTCCTTTCTATACTAATCACTTACGAACACAAAGATTAATGAAAATTAAATTGTTGCATTGCCTTGTCAAGACACTCATTAACTTGTTTGTTGTGTGTGTCAATACAACCTGTGTGTATGTTGTCCAGACCTTTTTGTTCCTATTGTACAATAATAAGAACAAAATACTTTATGTATTCAGTCATTTAGCCTTACCCAAACTCCCAGATCTAATTAAACCAATAGAAATTGTTAATTTGCTACTCCTGTTACCATTTATGATATTAAAGTATAGATGGCTATGCAGATTGAGTAAACAACAAATTACCACTGGTTTAAGTAGTCTGAAAGAGTTGCATTTTGTGGAACTTGCTGATGATCACTTTGTGACCTAATCTTGCTAAGTTGCTTGAAGCCCATTCCAGAATTGTATTGTATATTATGGCTCAGAATAGATGAAGGAAGCAAAGAAGTAAAGCTGATTTGTTTCATGTAGACAATTGCATTCCTTTTACTAATTGATACCTACTGAATAAGTGACTAAAGATGTACTTACTTAGCTAATAGGATTATTGCTTGTATTTGTCATCTTTTTGTATGCTTGACTTTTCACAGATAATCATTACTAACAATGAGTAAGGGCCTCCTAAAATTCTTACAGATTAATGAAATACAGCATATTGATTCCTTAACTGCCAATATCTTATGTTTGAAAGAATGAGTAGTACAAAACAAGTAAATTAGAACAAAAAAAAGGTAGTATTCACCTAATGAAGTGCAAATTTGATCAAGTCCTTTTCTCTCAAACAATACTAACTGAAACCATGGGAAAGAGACCTGCAGAGCTTTGCATCCAAAATTCAACCTTCTCTTCTCATCGCACTTATAAAAAATGAAACAATTTAAAATAAAAATGAAGCAGATGATAATGGGGGCATAAAAATGCCATTTTGAGATAAATTTATGCAGTTTCTATCAAGTTGGTAAATATAGTAATTGAAACCAGAAACAGATATTTTATCTTGGATTTTTAATGACATAATGACTCAATCCAGAGAGGCTGACAAAAAAGGTGTGTGCTTAAAGGATATCTAATATTGTAAAAGATAATGGAATCATAGAGGTAATTATAAACTGATTGTAAAGCCCTCCCTTTTTCTCCATGTACTCAGCAATTCAACACAAATGTTAAAACCTGTTAAATGATTCCAAGTGGACAAATAGCCATACAAACAGGGCTTATTATATGCTGTGGTGACTGTTTAACTATTGGCTGAGATGGCCAGTCAGCAATTGCTTGTTCCTGATTGGTTAACTATTCTTGATTGAAGTTATTTGTTTGTTACAGGCTGATTTCCCGTTGTGAAAACCTTATGGTTCTTTTTACTGATTAATTGGCACTGGCCCACTTGGTGTTTGGCTGATCATGCTTTGTGAATACATATCAATAACTACTTATCAACCACAAACAACTTCTATCAGTGGAGAAAACAAGTTTAGTTTGAAGTTGAGTTTCTTTGCTTTCTAATAATACTTTCATTAACATTTGGTAGGATAACTGACTACTGCCTTTTGATCACTTTCCATGATAATCTGATTAGCATACTTTTGGTATTATATAGTCATCTAACACTTTCGCCCCAGCCCCTCAACCTCTGGCGTCTTACTCTCAGGGTTGAGGTGTCTACTCGGTCCTAACCAAACTTAAGGGAGTGGCCATAGATCCCCTAAGCATCCGTAGATTATTCGACCTGTCTGCTGTTTTAATCCTGCTTCCTGCCCACGTTGTGATTTGTTTGATCCAGAAAGCAGAAGTGATGTCTGTCCATTCACGGTCAACTGAAGATGTAGACACGGCTGGGGAGTCTGCGCTAAGAAATTTTGAATGCAGCAAAAAAAAAAGTTATTATCAACAGAAAGCCGGACAAATATCGATTCAATGGTTGAATTGGTAATGTTTTTTATATAGCAGAAAAGAATAGTATAGAAGAGAAATGGGTTACAGAAAAGAAAAGTAAAAAAAAAAAAAAAACTCATACACTGGATTCTAGACAGAAAGAGAATGTGTATGTGATTATCTTGTTAAATCGTCTCAGAACGATATATGACTCTTGCGATGGAGGGATAAAGATTTCTGTGTGGGGATTAAAGTTATAGTGGCGTTCCTTCTCCCAACGGGTCAATTCTCTCTTCTCTCTTCAAGAATTTTCTCCCATCTGTCTTTTTCAGCATATCTATGTGTTTATATAGATAAACCCGGCTGGTTATAACTGACCCTCGGCCCTACTACTTCGCACACGATTATCATGGAGTTCTGGCTGCTTCAACCAAAATCATGTGAATTCCGAAGTTCCTTCTAGCTTACTCAGCTCTATTTCAATTTTTAAGCAATAAAAGTTATTTCGACCATTTCCATTGTCTCCTGATGACCAATTTCTGTCCTAGATGAGATTTCCCCATCAGTCAACAAAATGTTCCGATTTAATTTCGCTATTCAAATCTACTCCAATTTCACTAAAAAAAAAAATATGTGTATGTGTGTTTCCCAGACTCTCTCTGTCACAGTCATTGATACAAAATAATAATTGAAACAATGTTTTCTAATTATCAATTTTTTAACTTCATTTTATTTTTTATTTTTTTGTTTTTAGCGTGTTGGTCCAAAAATGTTAGATCATGAAGGAAAAGAAGTTCCAGGAAACAGAGGTTATAAGTAAGCAGATAAACTTTTGTCTAATTAAAAATTGTTTTTACTTTTATATTTTTTCATAATCTTTGACTAGATCTAGACTTTCATTTGGATGTCATGCATAGCATCCAACACATTGTTGTCTAAATTATCATCTGTATACAACCATTTTCTTAGATTACTGGTTAAAAATGGTTCCAAATGAATGAATGCTTCAAATCTCAACCTTTACCACTCTGCACTATTCACTACTTTCCTTTCAAAGCTTCTCTACTGCACTACTTAAGTCATGGTCATTTTCTGTTAACATAGGATATGAGAACACAACAGCAAAATTAAAAAAAACAAAATAACCTCTATTTAAGGTTAAAGAAGACAATTCTTTATCAGACTGGTGCTATAAAATCACAACTAAAGAGTTTTAACAAATAAAACCCATTTCACTTGGACACTTTCAACAACGGCAGCAATAAAAATGAATAGTACATGAAACTAGAAGAGAAAATAATGCTATAATGAAGCTGTTAACTTTACACAGTACCAAAAGCAAAAAGATTGGAATGAAACTCCCATCAGTATTACAAAGAGCTATAATGTTTAGTAGACTCAACAAGTTTAATTTGTGTGGAGAAAATTGTGAAAACGGCTTACCTTGGAAACGCCCACGAATCTGTGCGTTGTGCAAAATCCAGCTGCTCAGTGGTAAAAAGAACCAAAATGGCGGCACCCATGTTTTATGCCAGACAGTCTCGGACAGTTAGCACGAAATCTTGTGGTCTCGTCATTTGCATGCGAATTATGGTCAGTTCTCGGTTGTATAAAGGAAATGCGTTTTTTTTTCTTTTGCTTTTTTTTTTTTTTTTTTTTATTTTATTTGCTATTTTGGCAATGGACAAGTTTGATCTAAAATTGATCCAAGAATTCGACAGCTCCCCCACGTGCCCGACTGTCGTCGGTTTGAGAAGGCTGAACGTGTTTGCAGGGTGTCCAAAATAAAAGAACCTGCACTGGTCATCCCACCGAGACTCACAAGGGAAGCCTACGCCGTATATCAACAACTCTGGGACAATGCTGACCTAGAGATCAAGAGTGCCCTATATACGCCCTTTGGAATAGACCCCTTCATCGCTTGGAAACAGTTTGTCAGATGACGGCTTGAACTGAGTAAGACAGTGGATGTCTACCTGGCCGATTTGCGAAGGCTGGCGGTGCTATTTGGTGGAGCAACGGACTGCATACTGGGATGCGCCTTCCTGAGAGGACTTCCCGACAACAACAGTCGGCTCCTGCGAGTGTCTTCAAGATTGGACACACTGGCAATCGATGAATTGCTAGCCAGGGCCCGAAACATCTTGAAAGACACAGAACAGGTCGCGGCAGCTGTGAGAACGCCAAAGACACCACAGGAGTGCTACAAGTGCAGTGGACCAAACCATTTCTCTAGAGACTGCCAGAAGCCGAAGTGATGCTGGAGGCAGGAGTAGCCGACGGACACGAGCATGGCTACGCTGTTATCGCTGCAATGCGTTACACCGTGCAGCACAGGATTTCTCGAGAAACGAGTCCAGGGACAAGGTGCTGTCGCAACCCTTGCCCCCTCTCGGTCAGTAAATGCGGCATTGCCTGTTGTCAACGTGAGGGTTGATGGTAAACAGTGCTTGGCACTCGGCGACACTGGATTCAGACAATTGACGGAGTGTCTTGGGCCTGTTGTGGTGTCGGGACTGTCAATCCTCACAGATGGCGGGGATCATACCAAGGTCGACGTTTTGGTGGCTCGTCGGAGGCCCCTCGGTTACGACCTGCTGCTTTGCATTAGTGAGCTGGATTTCGATGTCTCCTTCAATTCCAACGAGAGGGTGTGGATCACCAGGTAGAAATGGGCCCAAAAAGACCCACCAGTTCAGTTACACAACAAGGTTGCAGAGTACAAAGTGCCCGATGGCATCAGAGGAAAATACCAGAAAGAGCTTCAACAGTGGATTGCGAATGGCTGGTTGATTCCGTACCCCCAGGAAAGACTGGGACCCCCCCAAAGGGTTTGATTCCCTTGATGACAGTTGTGCAGGAGCAGAAACAGAAGGTACGTCTGGTACTCGAGTATTGTGAATTGAACGACTTTGTGGATGCTTTCACTGCCGATGCAGAAGTGTGCACACAGAAGCTGAGAGCATGGCAGTAGCAAGGATTCAATGTGTCACTTCTGGATCTGTGAAACGCATATCTTCAGATTCACATCGCCGAAGCGCTGTTGCCATTTTTTATTTTTAAGGGCCAACACTTCTGTCTTACGCGGCTAGGATTTGGGCTAAATGTGGCGCCACTCATTATGAAATCCATTATAGACGCCATCGCATCGCAAGACCGCACAATTGAAAGTGCCACATTAGCATACGTTGATGACATTTTCATCAATGACAGTCTGGTTTCTGCATCGTGTACGACACCACTTTTCTGATTACGGTTTGGTGTGCAAGGACCCGCTGCAACAGAGATGGAGCAAGAATTCTTGGCTTGCAAGTCTGGGAACAGAATGGCACCCTCCGATGGAAACAAGGAAGTCAGATTCCGGAAGTCCCTGATGTGTTGACCCATCGGCGCGTATTTTCGTTATGTGGGAAACTTGTTGGACATTTCCCCGTGTATGGATGGCTCGCTGTGGCAGTTGGGGAAAATCGTGAAAACAGCTTACCTTGGAAACGCCCACGAATCTGTGTGTCGTGCAAAATCCAGCTGTTCAGCGGTAAAAAGAACCAAAATGGCAGTGCCCATGTTTTATGACAGGCGGTCTCGGACAGTTAACGCGAAATCTTGTCTCGTCATTCGCATGCAAATTATGGTCGGTCCTCAGCTGTATAAAGGAAATGCGTTTTTTTTTTTCCTTTGCTTTTTTTTTATTTTGATTTCTTACCACAATTTGCTAAAAAATAATCTTTTGATAAATAACATTAATAGTAACATTTGATCAATTAATACCAAATGTTTTCTGTATGGATGCAGCTAATTTTGCAGTTACCTGCATTATTTACATGAACTGTTATCTTCATTGCCATATTCACAATGTTTCGACTGTTGTATGTTCAGACCTTCTTCAGGTGATTGGAATTTCTAACCAAACCCTTTATTTCACCCACTGGGGTAGATTGTTTCAGATCCACGTGACATGCCTCTTCCAGATGTCTCAGTTATTTCCCTTTAATTCAACTATCCAAGTTCTTGATTCACCTGGTCTAGTCACTGGATCTAACCAACGTCTTTATCCACTGGGCCATGTGTTGTTGAGGACGTCTTTGTATAAATTTTTGGGACTTACAAATGTCTCAGCAACCTTTTTTTTACTTGAGCTAATATTGCAGTTTTTGTTTTAATTCATTGGTTAGATCCAGTACCTAGACCCAAAGAGTTCAATACAGGGGTCATAAAAAGATAAGAACAAAGACATCCTTTCTCTGACCAATCCTAATTGTTTTATTACCCATTAAACAGAAGAATATATTTGCCACAAGTCTAAGAAAAGTTTGGATTACTACTACACACAAAAGACAATGGTTAAACATCAGAAAACATAAGGAAAATTAATTCCTTTTAATAATATGTGGAAATAACCTCTCTTTGCCTGATGAAGGTCATGAGACTGGAGATACATGTAGCAAAAATATGGAAAATAAAGTATAATATATATTTAAAAAATCCACATTATAACCTAAAACACTTCTGGCTTCTCTCTTCTCTTTAAAATATACACTTTTCTCACATTGGAATAACTATAACCTCTCCCTCGTGTGTGTGTGTGTGAGATATATATATATATATATATATATATATATATATATATATATATATATATATATATATAGTTTTTATAGTACAAAATTTAACAATAGCTAGGAATAAGCAAAATTTGTATGGCATTTTAAAAAGCTAAAAAAGAACAACCAGTTTTATCCCAGCCTTATCAAGTTTATTTCTGGGATATAAAAAGGAAGCATGTAAATTTAATTAATATTAATGATAACAGATGGAAAGGAAGAAAAAAAAAATGAATTTCAAGAAAGCTAGAGTCCAATAACATTCAGACCCAGTAAGCATTCCCTCTGTTTACAGAGGGAAGGCCCACGGGATCTGATATACAAGGCTCTAGAACATTGAGGTGTAATGAGGAGTGTGACCTAGATAAAATTGAGAAACAGTCCACCCTATGATCAAGGAGACAATTCCTGCTATTTATTACATGCTTCAGCATTTGGGTCCAGCTTTAACGAATATTTTTGTCTGGTTTCATGAGGCTTCCTTATTTTCGTGTACTGGTTCTTCTGCCTCTTTAATAATGAAGCTGAAGCCGACTGGTTTCTCACCGAATTAAACTCTGTCCATCCCTGTCTCAAGTTCACCATAGAAAAGGAGTCCAATTCTTGTTTTTCCTTTTTGGAGGTTCTTGTTCATAGGATTAGAGACAAGTTTGTGACTTCTGTACTTAGGAAGGCTACTTTCTCAGGACTTTATACACATTGGGACTCTTTTTGTCCCAGACAACAAAAAGTTAATTTGATTAAGACCCTAATTTATAGGACGCTTATGATTTGTTCTGATAGCTTTCTCTGTGGTGAAATTGACTTTATTAAGATGACACTTTCTAAAAATGGATATCCTTTGGGTGTTTTGGATTCTGTTATCCATGATGTTATTAATAAATTTCATTGGGTTAAGCTGCATTCTGTTAAAACATGTCCAGTTTATTTGCATCTTCCCTTTATTGGTTCAGAAGGTGAGTTTTATCTAGACGAATTTCGCGTGTGATTAATAGCTGTAGATTTTCGGCTATTGTTCAGGTAATATTTGTTATTTGTTCTGTTTTCTCTTCCATTCATAAGGACATTCCACCCCCATGTTAATTCAGTGATTTATAAATATAGGTGTAATTGTGGACTCGACTACATAGGGAGAACATCCCAGCATTTGGATCTGAGAATAAAACAACATTTACCCCCAGGATTTTAAATCTGGATGCCAGGAATAGTCAACTAATCAATACTTCCAGCTCTGCTATTGCTGAGCATGTAATAAATAGCAGGAATTGTATCCTTGATTTTAGGGTGGACTGTTTCTCGATTTTTATCTAGGTCCCACTCCTCATTTCACCTCAAGGTTCTAGAGTCCTTGTACATCAGATCTCGTGGGCCTTCCCTCTGTAAACAGAGGGAATGCTTACTGGGTCTGAATGTTATTGGACTCTAGCTTTCTTGAAATTCATTTTTTTTTTCTTCCTTTCCATCTGTTATCATTAATATTAATTAAATTTACATGCTTCCTTTTTATATCCCAGAAATAAACTTGATAAGGCTGGGACGAAACCGGTTGTTCTTTTTTAGCTTTTTAAAAAGCCATACAAATTTTGCTTATTCCTAGCTATATATATATATATATGAATGAATGTAATCTTTTAGTGAACATACAGTAAATAATTTAAAAAAATATTTTTTTATAGAATTCTATAATTTTAGATTTAACAATATTAATTGCTAAATTGTTATTTCGAGCATCATTCATAGTAAGCATTGTTATTGTCTGATATTTCACATTATGACACATTTGTGAAGTGGGGGCCAAGAAATATATCTTTTAAACAATTATCTGGATATGTCAAACATTTTCTTAGCTGTATGGAATTATTTAAACGGGTGGAAAATGGTAAGTTTGCTGAATTATTATAAATATTAACCTTAGAAAATTATTCAAATGTTTCTCTCTTGATTAGCTTTATGTAGCTATGTCCAGAGGAGGAAATTCAAGTAGAATTAGCATAATGATAAAGAGAGCCTTAGAAAATAGATGCCTTGCTGAAAATGTTGTTTATACAGAAATTGTATAAAGTTAAGAACTTCTATTACAACTTTTCATTGCCCAAAGGATGCTTATTTGACTAGTTAACCTTATAGAGAAGAAAATTTTACAAAAATCTACATGATTGGTTGATATTATAAAAAAATAAGATTGCTTAAACTACCACAGAAATATTTTGATAAATGGAACTGACTAGATATTGTATCAGACTATTTGAAAACTAATGTTAAAATTTAAGTCTAATTTATTGTTTCTTATTATTTTTCAATTTAAAGGTATTTTGGTGCTGCCAAAGAACTACCTGGGGTAAGAGAACTCTTTGAACAAGAGCGTAAGTGATTAAAAATTATTTTCAGACAAGCTAGCAGTATTATGTATCAAAGATACTGTTGTGTAAGAAATTCATTTTAAAACCATTTCATGTAGTTTTTTTTTTTTTTTTTTTTACTGTTAATGAAATTTATATTTTCACTTTCAACCAGAACATTTTGGTTGAACAGTTAATTTCTTTCCATGTATTGTTTGACTATTAAACAAAATTTGTTTTTTTGATCACTGCAGTTTGATTCATTCAGACAATTGAATGAATTCGCTAATTGATGATGCCTCTTCTCAAAGTTTTAGGCATTTAGTGATACAATTAAGACATATGAGAGCTCATTTTCTATTATTGTTACTTTTTATAGATGTTTTTAGTTAAGAGGTAACAGTCACATTTGTAAAAGAACATTTACATGTAGATCACTCATATAAAAAATTCATAACTAGTTGGAGCAGTGAAAATTCAGCAATGTTTAACCTTTGTACCCACAAAAAATGGTATGTCAAAAGGACAGTCTTTCCCTTGACACCACTAATATTTTAACTACTGTCACTCTTTGGCAATGTTTATTGTTTTAAAAAGTGATGATTAGAATTGTAATAAGATTTATGATATATGATGAAATTAAATTTATACATTTCTTATTGTTTTTGAGAATTTACAGCAGAAATATTAAAAATTATTTATTAGATTGTTTATTTGTAAGAATAATTTTATATTTACAACATTCTAAAAAGACTAATACAATTATATTAAAACTAATGCAATTCAATATTTATGATTTATGAAAACAATTCTTTATTTATAAACATTTATATTGTCTTTTTGCAGGCACAAGGGTTAAATATTGCTGAAAATTATATGGGGTATTTTGGCAGTTTAATAATACAAAATAATTGGAATTTTTTAATGATACAAATCAAAATATTATTTTTAGATAATGGTTAATATAATATAAGATTGTGTATGTAATAAACAAAGAGGGTGAGTGAAAAAGTAATGCAGTTTTATTATATAAGTAATAAGGAACACAATCAAGCCTATTGTAATTTAGTAAATGTAAATGTTTATACTGTCCTGAAGGAGGTGATTGCTTCTCTAGTGTTGTTGTGTAAAAGAACTTTATTCATCTCTAGATTTGTTATAAGTCAACTGACTGTTTCTCCTCTTGGTAAGAAATCAACAAGAATAATACCTTGAGCTATGATTTTTCCAAATGATGTGACTTTTATTGACTTCAAGGAATTTAGTGCAGCAGTTAACCCTTTTGGTCCTGTGCTCATCTGTCAGTTGTCTTTGTAAACAGTGGGCACACACTTTTGAATATCCAAGTGATTCAATAATGTTGGGATCACTACCATGGCAAACTCGCAGCTCTGAAGCCAGCTCATTAAAGCATCTGCTTTTTCCTTGTTAGCAGATTTGACAGAAGTTGATGGTTGGCATGCATGTTAAAGCTTGAATTTCACAATTCTTGCTCTATTGAATTCTCATTCACACAACAGGTCCATCTCCACTCATCTTTGTATACATATTTCAGTCTTTGGTGAATGTTTACAAGAGTTTCTTCTTTGGCAACAAAGAACTTTATTACTGCTCTTTGTTTTTTGTAGACTTCCAGTGTGGGTGGCCATTTTTTCAGATTCATATATGTGAAAAAAAGTAATTGATAATTAAAGATTAAGAACGTATGTGCTTTTATATTTGTACTATATTGCAAATAATTTAATTGATAAATGTGCTTCCTATGATAAAATTTGCATTACTTTTTGACTAACGCTTGTATACATTTTAATTTTTTTTTCATAGCTCCTTCTCAACCTCAAAAGACTCGAGCAGATCTTATGAAAGACATAGATGCAGAGTACTATGGTTATCGAGATGATGATGATGGCGTTCTTATCCCGCTTGAACGTGAACAAGAAAAAATTGGTAAACTTTTTTTTTTTTTTTTTTTTTTTTTTTTTCTTTTTATTAGAAACTCCTTTCTTTTTGAATTTCAAACATAACTTCAATTTTAACTTTGGCCCTTCAGTCCAATTTGATGAATCTATATCCATAATTCTAAAAATGTGTGTGTGATTGGATGTTGTTTATGCATTTCCACAGTTTTCATTCAATTTCAATGAATTTTTTTTTTTTGGTTTTGTTTGATAATTCTTCAGTGCCAGTTTTGGGTCCAAATTGTTGGCGACAATGGCTCTTCACTAGTTTCTGTCTATTATAACTCTCAGCAACATTTTACTATTTACTCTGTTCTTGGATATATATCTTTCATAAAACTTTAATGAAAATAAATACTTTAAATTATTACAATAATATTATCTATATCTATAATTCTCAAAATGTGTGTGTGTGATCAGATGTTGTTTATGCATTTCTACAGTTTTCATCCAATTTTGATGAAATTTTTTGTTTGATTCTTTAGTGGCAGTTTTTAGTCCAAATTACACATGCCCCTTCTCTTGGCCAATTGTTCAATGTCTCTCAAGTGTGGTTACCTTATCTGTTGCATAAAAAATTTTTTAATTGGGAACAGCTATAAATGACAACGAAAGCAATGCGTTAAAACTACTACAGTTTTAACGCATTGCTTTCGTTGTCATTTATAGCTGTTCCCAATTAAAAAATTTTTTATTGTTCTACCAGTTTTTGCATTGCATTCACCGTAGTAATAAGTAAGCTTGCTTTTTTATTACTCAACATTTATTTTTCCAACCTTTACTAAAGTTATTAGAGCTTAGCAATCCCTGTAGCTTTACAGCGTTCTCTTTTGGTATTTGCCAATACATACTTGTCTAAGACATGCCACCAAAGAAAAGAACTTGCTTAGGTTGCAAAATCACCGCTGCCAAGTCTGCCATGTGAATAAGAGATAACAGATTGTCTTTAGAACATTCAGTTTACCTGTCTCAAAATGCCTGTTGGAAAGCTTCAATCAGAGCCACTGAGTCCAAAGATCAATGTAGCAATTGGCTTTCCAGAAGAGCATACCTGAACGCTTCTGCAGGTGAGGCTGAAAATGCTGATCAAAGGACTCAACAGCTGAGGAGAAATGCCTTTTCAACTGCTGCTGTACATGAGGTTGAAATAAGATCTAGAACACAAAAATGGCCCCTTTTCAGGCACCCTTCCCCATTTGGGAATGTGCCTCATTTGCACCCAATTGTTGTTACTAATATTGATTTTTGGGCAGGCTGACTTTAAACTTAAAATGCTCCAATTGAACGGTGAAAATTCCCAGTAATGAAAGACTCAGTTGAAGACGGGTTATACTGCTAGTTAGTAGATAAAATAGTGATACATTTTTTCAAAATGCTTGCAATTTTAGCATTTAACTGTGATTATAATCACCATTTACTTGCATCAGTTTTTCTCATTTTACCTCTATGGCAATAAATAAGAATTTCTGATTCAGTAATTTTAAAATATTTTCTGTTGGCTTTTATTTTGATAAGTTGATTCAAAGTAGTCAAGAATCTACTCATTGAGACATTTCACCAAATTGTTAGCATAATTGGGCTAGTGCCATAAATATTGAATTAAGAAGTAACTAACAATTAAATTTTGACTTATTTAATCACTTTTTCCAGCCATTTCCAGAAAGATAGAAGAATGGAAAGATTGCAAAGAGGCCATTTTACGGGGTGATGTTGTAGAGGACATCAAGAATGATGAAGAAGGTGACATCTACGCTGTTGAGGAAGCAGTAAGTATTTTTGAACTTTTCTAACTTGAATTAATTTAGCCATTCATAGAGAATTGTCTGTATTATGTCTACCAATGTGATTTTGTTATTGCCTTAGGAAAATAATCATGATTACCTCCTTTTTTTTTTTTTTTTTTTTTTTTTTTTTTAAACACAGTAGAAGTTCTTTTCTCTTCATTAAACTCATGAAATAGCATGCTTGTGTTTGGATCTCAAAATATATAATTTTGTGCCACACTTGATACAACAAACAATGCCTTAAAAGAAAAAAAATGATAAACCTTAGTAAACATGAAATGTTTCCTATTCTACTAATCAAAGGTACCCTTACAATGTTTAATTTGTTATTGATAAATAAGACATTATGAATTAATATCCAGACTGAGGAGGCACAGTGGAGTAATGGATAACAGCTCAGATTGAGGAATCAGAGAGCCAAGTTTGAATTCCAGTGTGACACCCACCGGTGGTCGCAGTCCAGCGCCAATATGTGACGTCCACTGGTCTTGACGTCAATATATGACACTGCGCCATTGGCCCGTGGTCAACTCCCAGTTGCGGTGCGAAGCTATAAGGTTTCTTCCACCAGCGTTTTGGGGTCGACTCCTTGTTGCTGCCACCAGCTTGTATCCCGGTCAATCTGGTTGTTTCCGGTTCAATACCAGCTTTGTCGTTCTCAGCTCGCCTCCAACGCTTGGTCACCAAAGTAACTGCTTTGATCTCAAGTCTAACCTACCCACATTGTGATTTTGATCTTAGTTAGACGAAATCAATCAAGTGTCTGGCCATAGTGCAAGCTGAATCCAGGGTAAAGGTGATACTGCACAAGCGTAAGTAAAAGAAAATAATAAAACAAACTCAAGAGGTTCAGATATGTTGAGAAATAACAATTATCTTTATCTGTCTGTTGAATACAGGAGTGTGTTTCTCTCCCAGCCCGTTTCTATGGATTCATGACACTTTTTGCGTTTCTTAACCGAGTTATGGTATCTTAAGTCGTTTGTCAATAAAAACTTGCTTTTGGTAGGAAGACTAAGTCGAGAGGACGTGGAAATCTTTCGATCAGCTTCTGTGAGGCTGGTCTCCAACTTCTCGAACTAACTCCAAACTCAAACTGTCTGGAACTGACTGCAACTCTGAACTCTCCCTGACTGCCTCGAGACGTTCGTTTATATGGACACCGACTAACTCTGGCTCTGACTTGCTTTGGGTTCCTTGACAATTCTCAGTTCCCAACAAGAATTCTCTTTGTATTTAGGCCAGGAAAATTAATTACTTCCCATTTTTGGAAGATTAATCACTTTTCATTTTGGGGGTTTCTCCCTCGTCTGTGAGGGAAGGTCAGAGGAGAGTTATCCTCCTAGACTCTTCCTCTCTTACATTGGTATCTCATACCAATCCCCTCAGTGGGTGTTAACAACTTCTCCGTCTTTCTCATACATTCTCATACATTCCGCCTATCACCCATGCTACCAGTTGGCCAATGATCTCTCGGCAGTGTGGGTGTGGCTAGACTGGCCCTCTTAGAATTACTATCCAGAATTTTGTTTACAAAATCCTTTTTTTCTTTTTCCTTTTCCTTTGGTCAAGACATTTACAAGTCCCAGATTGCCGAATAATTCTTATCACATTTTTTTGGGGACACCCAAATCCACTTAGCCTGGACCTCTAACAACTCATTAATCACTGTCAAATCCCGACACCTGGGTCCTCCGTTAGTCAACTTTTAACTGGGTGGTCATGTTTACCTGATAATTAAATTCTTTATTTTTCTCATACCTTAAAATTCTCTTATCACCAGATGCTCATTTTTGAGACGCTATGTCTGATGTCAACAGTTTGAATAAGCAATAATAATGATTCCCTTTTCGATTTTCCTTCTCATGTCGAGATTCATGCATGTACCAGATGGCTTCCTTTGCTGGAACCAGGAATTAAAGTTAAATGATATCGCTGAAAGATAATTAATATCTATTCTCCAGAGTGGCCTCAGGGCAAAATTCTTTTTATGGTCACATGCGTTGGTTGGCTTTGTGTGTTGTTGCTGTTTTTTTTTTTTTTTTTTTTTCAGAATTCTGTTTCGTTTGGTGCATCACTCCCTTATCGTGACATTAATTAATTTTGACAGAATCACAGTCTCGCTTTTTCTTACGGATTTTCTGTCTTTTGCGAAAAGTATCTTTTTTTTTTTTGTAAATAAAATAAACTCATCTTTTTAATGTCGCTCAGTCTATCTTTCGATATAGCTCTTGCCTTAAGTATTTCCCGTTTTTAATTTCTATGGTTACTTAGTTAGCCAATTACCATAGCTAAATAGTGTCACAATGTTGAATCCATTACATTCACTTAAATGCTCATGGGAAAGGGGTATGAATCCTCTTCTTCTCCCCCCAGCTATGGGTAAATGCTAACTGGTCTACCACAGAAAGAAATGGCAACCTACTGCAGGAAAAAATCTGCCTCGTCAGTCATGTATCAAAAGATACATGATCGCCTAAGTGTGTATCACACATGGCACATAACTGACTGATCCAGGCTGATCAGAGTTGGAAATAAGGTGACTATGCTATCTTTTGGGTCTTTTTGTAGTTATGAATCTCACCAACATATCTATGATAAAATAGCAAACTTTTTATATGGCTATAATTACTGATCTGAAATCTGTATCTTGAACTGATCTTGAAGAATTTGAAAGTTCTATGATTGGTTGATAGTTGTGACAAATTAACCACCCAATAAAAATAAGAAATATAGGAATAAATAATTTCGAATTTGTACTTCAAATAATATGATATTAATATGAAATGCTGAATAAACAAGAGTAAATAATTTTGAGATCAACTAAAGAAAAAGTAATTTATTTAAAATTTTTAATTTCCATGCATTTGGGTATATAATGATTTATCAATGTTTGTTTAAAACTTTTTTTTTATTATTGATAATCCTGTAATTTTTGTTTTATTTACCATTTTTATGATTATTCCTTTCTTTAATTTTTTTTTTTTTTTTTTAATTTTGTCTATAACTGTTCTAATCATTTTCATATTTCTCTGTTTGTTTTTTTCCTCTATTATTAACATGTTTTTTTTCCTCTATTATTAACATGTTTTTTTTTTTCTTTCCCAGTCTGATTCTGATACAGAAATTGAAAGTGGAGGTGTAGATAAAGAAAATCAACATTTCATCGCTCATGTACCTGTTCCATCACAACAAGAGGTATTTTTCATCTTTTATTAGTTCATGCCCATCACTTTACTGATTGCAAGATGATCAAATTTCAAATCTAAATTGTTTGTCCATTTCAAATACTACATTTACTAGAAAAATATATTTAGTTTGAATAGAGGAATCATAAAAATGACTTCAAAGAACCATATATTTTGGCTTATATTTTTTTCTGTTGCCCAGGGATTGTTGACTAACAACAATCTTTGGGTCTTACAAAACAAAACAGATGTCCATTTCAATTTCATTCAAATTGAGAAAAAACAGTTTCTCAGCATGAGTAGGTTTCAGCCTACATCTCTGGTCACTGATGACAAGTCCAGCCTTGTTGAAAGAAGTCTGGGTAAAAAAGTAGGGATTATTCACATAGTCATTTTTTAGGCTTTATAGGTAATTTAGTCATAGAATTCATTGCTTACATTAAAGCTTAATCATTAAACTTTAAAATACATTGTGAACTATAAATAAATACCATATTTATTAACAATTTAGTAAAATACAAAAGAAATCATTGCATAAATATCCATGTTTTGTTTAGTTTGTATATCTCTGGATAACACATTTGGAAGAGAAGACTGTATAGCTAAGATAGCTCTCCAGAAGTGACAGTCAGTTTATGAAGTGGCTTTTAAAAAAAATCAAAAAATAAAATAATTTATAAAATCTGATGTCATAATATTTAACATTAAGGTGAAACTCGCACAGGCAACTGCTTTTTTAAAATTTTTACTCGCTACTATTTCATTTTGCTGATTTCATTTATTTACTTTTACTACAAGTATTTTTTTAAATTTCATTTTGGTAACTGTTTTTTTAGATAACTCTGAAACTGAAACATCTTTTAAAAAAAAAAAAATATTTTATAATTTTGAATCGAAACAAATAGATTTCCTTCATCATATCTTTTTCTTTTCTTCTTTTCATTTAAAAACATTTTATGCTAAAATGTAAAATAGATTTCCAAAATATGATGTCATATTGTCTGTTGTATTTCCTTTTTTTTTTTTTTTTTTCTTTGAATATTTTCAAATGAAAAAAAGAAATGTTAAAAATGTAAACAAATAGATTTCTTCCTAGATTTATTTCCTAAAAGTCAAATGTTTTTATCATATTTTTGTTCAATCTCTCTTGTTCAACAAATGTTGATAAAATTTAATTTCATTCAAATCAGTTTTTTTTTTCACCTGTGTTTCCTTGGGTAAGTAATAGCTCTATACCGAACAGTTTCAGTAAGTAATAGCTCTATACCGAACAGTTTCAGTTTCATCAAAAAATTTCTGTGTTGTTTCCGGTGTGTAGCTGAAACCGGAAAAAATTGTTTTTTCAGTTAAACCGTCCATCTCTAGGTTTCATCATTTTACAGTTGAAATTGCGAGATGTAACTGTAAGTTCTATGCTAACAGTTTCTTCTCTTACACTTCACACTTGTGACTTCTTGCTTTCCAGTCAACTGTGATCTTCAAAAATTTAAATGCAGTGGCAATTGTTATTTTTTGTCATCTTAATTCCTGTTCTTTTATTCCTTCTTTTTAATGTTTTTTTTCTCATTCTTTCATACTTAATAATCTCTTGCATCTTAGTGGCTTCATTGCCTTGCTTGGGGCAAAAAGATTAAGAAATAAAAAAAGGAGCCCTGCTGTCAAGTACAAATAATATTTCTTTATGGATTTTAATCTAAGTAGTGTTGAGTACTTGTAAACATAATTGTTCTTTTTAGATAGTAAAGACTTATTTGAAATGCTTAGTCACATTTTATTGTTTTCAGGGTTTTATTGAAAGAATCAATTTCAAGAGAGGCCTGAAACATCAAAGGGCTTTCTTATCTGAAGTATTCAATCATACCAGCCTAATTTGAAGAAGAAATCTCCAGTTTTTACTGTTCCAGCAAAGACAATTTTATGTAATTGTCAGTATTAAATTGCTTTTATTTCTGTTAATTTTTTTCAGATAGAAGAAGCATTGGTACAACGGAAAAAATTGGAGCTACTTGAAAAATATGCCAGTGTCTCATTACAAGAAGAAGAAACAGAAGTTAAACAAATGTTAGGAATGTGATATTTTTTCTCTGTGTGGCAAATTTCAAAACATTCATTTTAATATCGTCAACTATTAAGCATCTCATGGTCAACACTTTGCAGAGTTTTAAAAGTTGGAGAAAGTCTTTCAATCATTGGTCTCTTTGGACAGTTTACTTCTGCAATTAACTACAACCTGAATTGTTTATGGCTATACTTTAAAAACTTTAGTCAAATGTTATTATATATGAGAAACATTTTTATAACATTTTTTTTCTACAAAATACATGTGTGGAAATGCATTGTAAATAAATTTTGCTTTAGAAATTCATAATTCATTGTCAAGAAACATTACACACAATTTGAGACTTTATTTTTTGTTCATATTTCGACTTAACAATTACTAAATTAAAACACAGGTAAAAATAATTTTCTACCTTCTGAGTTATTAAAGTGAAATGAGAAAAACTTAGAGCTTCTTCATAATTTGCACTTCTTCCCTTTAGCTGATTAACATCAGTTATATAACATGTTATGGAGTCTACAATCTGCTGCAGGTTTTGCTTGTATAAAAGAGTTGTACATTTTGAAGTTTAAAATTTGATTTGCATGAAAACAATAGATTATCTTGAAGTTAGCATAATATACAGAAGTCAGTTTCATGTCACCTGAATAGGATGTAGGTGGGATTGGGAGTTGTATTATACTTTTGGAACAAAACATAAGAATTATGACAAGCATAAAAAGTGTTCAAATTGTCTGCAACAAGATTTGTATCTCACACCTATCAAAACAGAATTTTTGATTCACTATTATTTTTTTTTTTTTTTTTTTTTTTTCTCAATTTCACAAAAATTCATCCTACACCATTATGGAACCACCATCAATTTGTACAAAACTCTACTGACAGCCTGGATTTACAGTCTTTTACAGTCTCTTCTATACATGAACTAAACTAGCATATCCAAAAGTGTTGGAAAAGTGACTCCTCTAATAATATCTGGCCCAGGTTTTCTATGGTCTGATGGCAACATTCTTTGGTTACTGCAGCTCACCTGGGCCAATGTCACAGTTTCAATAATGGCACATCTTTTTGGTCAAAACTATCGAAAGCAATGTGTGTTGACACAAGCATTGAATTGTGATATAATATAATTTATTCTTTGAAGTATGATTACCAACTGTCAGTTGCTGAAGGTTCTATTCTTGTATCACCTGTGGGCATCTGCGGTTTTGACATGCCACTGTATACATGGAATTTATATATTCCTAGTATACCTTATTAGCAGTATATTTGCTGTTCAAGAAAAATCACATGCAACTGCCACTTTGAAACTCCATCTTTATGGCCTCAACAATCATTGTGCACTCAATTACTCTACCCCCCCCCTTACCTATTACATCATCTGATTGAATCCATTTATACAGGTGGGGAGGAGCAAAAACTCTCTAAAGTATTTGGTACTTCAGTTTAAGAAGAGTTATGCATTTCAATAAATTCAGTATCTTGAAAAAGTTTGAAAATCCAAAATGAAAAAATCTTTTTCAATTTGAAAATATTGTATTCTTTTATTGTGTGCAAAAACTTATAAGAAATTTAAGCTGCAAGGAAAGTATTAAGTTTTCATCACCATCTTAAATCTGATAAAAACATTGATATTCCAAGGCTTTTCATTGAGTTCTTGTTATAAAATTGTCTTTATTGCTTCTTTTAAATGATCTGTAATGGTGATTTTCTTTTTAATAACATTCATAATGTATAGACTTTCATTTTTCAGTCATCATTACACTATCAGAGAGATGTATTTTTCTATTTGGGTGGGTGTGTATATAAAATATAGTTTTAAGTAATAAAAAAAATATACATTTTTAACTTGTTTTTGTTTTTTTTTTGTTTTTTTTTCAAGTTTTTAAGTTGGCATAGAACTTGTTCTGGTTATTTTCATATCAAAAGTGATAAACATTACAATGATTGCCAGCCACCTCTGTTTAATTAACACTTTTTCTTTTTTAAATAGTAACATGCAGGTTCTGTATAAAATGAATTGTATATATTTGAACACAACTCATCTTGAATTAAGCAAATTTCTCAATGTTTTCAAAGAATTAGTTGTCAAGTAGAATATGACTGAGAGTTAAATCCTAAATGTTTAATGATACAACCCTAAAACAAAGCATGCTGAAGTCAGTTATCTTGAGAGATTTTGCTTGGTCTATTTTTTTTTTTTTTAATACCTATCACAGGATAGTTTCCTCAATAATGTGAGAAGCTGCTTGAGTACTATGTGAATTCCACTGTATAACTTTGGAGGGTTGAAATTTTGTGAAGAATGATGAGTATGACAACTTTCAGTTGAAGCCAGTTGTGGGAGAACACCAGGCAGCTCAGAAGTTTAAAGAAATCTGTTAGGTTTGAATAGCATCAAAAGTAACTGGCTCTTTCGATTTAGCTGCCTCAAATCTGTTAATTAGTTACATCTTTCCTTGAAACAAGAATGCTTCGTTCCTGGAGCCACTGGCAGTTCTTATTTTGTACATTTAAAATATCTAGGAGAAAAAATCAAATTTAAATTTATTTTTATCAGAAAATGTTTTTATAGGGATTGCTGCCCAAATACACAATTATATATACACACATTTATACATGCATACACATATATTTATACATGTATAACATAATTATAAATCAAAAATTACCTCGTATGGGATTAGCTTATTTCAGCAGTCGATGATATCGGTCGTATGTCTTGTCAACCCCAGTGTGGAATGAGTTCATGTCTATAAAGTTAGATTTTACAAACAGAAAAATTGATTTTTATAACCCTTTATGTAACAGAAAATCCATTTTAATCCAAAATTGACTGCTGATAATCTTCAATAATCTTGGAGGTCAGTATCATCTCTACTATAATCTTCAGCCCATGTTACCATCATGTATCAGTTTACTCCAAGAGTATAACTGTTTATCTATAATACAGATCATAAAAAAAAAAAAAAAAAAATTCTACATCCAGTTTCTCCAGGGGTTACATTTGACCGCATCCCCCTTTAACATTTGAGATCCAAAAATTTTTTTTTTCTCTTTCTTAAAAATGATGATATTTCATTTTGCCAGAAATTGCTTAATTTGGCTTGAAATGTATGATGTTTTTTGTGTAACCTCAATTGGCATCCAAGATAAACTTCACATAATGTAAACATTGAGTGGATTGTGAGGCTTCATGCCAAAACTTAGGTCAATTGGACTTGCCATTTCAGTATAATGATGACACAGCACTAAATTCTTGACTGACATCAGCTGCCATGTCATTGTTACTGAATAAAAGTAAACAAAGGAACAGGAAATAGATGGATAAGCTATGTGAGGTCGAAAAAATTAGAGATGGTTTCCTTAATAATGTGTAGTTCCATTATTTGCATGAGTAATTGGGGATGCCCAACATGGTATGAAGTCTATGAAGTGTTGGCGCTATTGTATATTTGTTGTGCAGACATTTTAGTGAAGTTTGCAGCATGTCATACACAGGCACAATAGCATATATGTGCCAATGCCATACCTGGAATTCATCTGTGTTCCTGAAACCATTTTGCTGTCAACAGTGCATAATAGGGGTGGTGAGGTATTATTTAGCTGGACCAAACCATTGTCACCAGGAATTAAGGCAAACGAGGAAGTTTAAGTGGTCTGCAACTGTATTTGTGTATATTACGTGTGAAATATGTAATGTGTGTGTGTTTAAAATGGAATAAAGAGTATCGTCAAAGTTTTTAAGAAGTTTGACAAATGGAAAATGAAGTCTAGAAAGGTGAAATGTGTAATCAAATGTTCCATTTGTCAAATTTCTTATTAAAAATATGAAAAATTAATATATATATATATATATATATATATATATATATATATATATATATATATATATAAATTAAAAAACATATCCTATTTATAGAGTAAGGGATGCAGTGACACTCTTTATTATAAAATGGAGCATGGAAAGGAGATTGCTCCAAATTTTGAATTGGAGCTGGAACTTGAATAGTTTCAAAAATCAACCTTGATTGAGACTCAATATTCTAAAAGTCAAAATATCTTAAATTCACTGGAACATAAATTCTAAGGATCAAAATAGTTTTAAATTTTAAAGTAAAATCTTTCTCTGGGTGTGTATTATCTTTCATGGAGTTTTTATTAATTTAACATCAAATAAGTTTCTTTTTTTAAATTTCTATGTGTGAAAGAAGGAACAAATCTATAATTGAGTAAACTAGAAACTATGATTCAGCTTTTTATTTAATGATTTTGGGTTCATATAAATTTTTTTCTATTCTGGACAGTGTGTAAAAATTCTTTCAGCTATATATATATATATATTTTTTTTATTTTTTTATTTTTAACTGAATGTATATATTTTTTTATGTATGTATCTAGAGTCATAGGAATGTTTTTTTGTTTTTTTGTTTTTTTTTCCAAACAGCACATTCTAACCATAGTTGATGTTAAATAAAAGGTTTAGCTGCAGTACCTTGTCAGTCATTTCTAATAAAAGAGGGATTGCTGCGTAAATACACAATTATATATACATGCATACACATATATTTATACATGTATAACATAATTATAAATCCAAAATTACCACATATGGGGAATAGCTTATTTCAGCAGTCGATGATATTGGTGGTATGTCCTGTCAACCCGAGTACGGAATGAGTTCATGTCTATAAAGTTAGATAGGAGGTAGAATTTAACTGTGAAAGCTAACAATTTGCTGAAAACATCTAATATAGAGTTTACACATTTCAATGTTTCAGTCAGACAAAAGGCACATAATTTAAATTGAGATTTCCTCTAACCTTAGAATAGTTGATTATCTAGGCATCACCTCAATAATAAAATGTTTAAACCACACCATAAAGACAATGAAACCCCCACCTATATTAATGTTTATTCTAACCACCCCATTGTGAAACAGATCACTGTTAGCACCAAGGATTAGTCAATTGTCATCCAACATAAACATCTTTTAATGAAAATAAAAAATTGTT